CATTTGTTTAACTGTGTAACAAGTACTTACAGCGCACGCGACGGGGACACTAGATAGCACCGTGTTCACAGAACTCACCTGGTCTTTGCTGTCACCGAGTCCGGAGTCTAGTTTGAGGAAGCTGGAGGCAGCAGTCACATTTACCCAAAGCTAAGATTACATTTACAACTCTGCTAGGTGCTAAGGAGCAAGGGGGAGGTATTCAAAATGGTTTAGGAGTGCATAATGGGGTGGGGGTTCCAGGATACCCTTTCTAAGAAGTGATGATGGACCTGAGTCTTGGAAGAAGAGCAGGAAGAAGTCAAGTAGACAGAGAGGGATGGGGGCAGAGTCTTCCTCAGTGAAAAAAAAGGAGCGGTTTATGAGTGAGGAGATAATGGATAGCCTAGTGAGAGAGGGGATGACATTGGGGACAGGGGACAAGGACAGACAGGACTTCCTTTGGGCTGGGAACAAGGAGGAAAGGACAGGTGGAACAAGTTGGTCCTGAGTGTGTGTGTTTGCATATGTATGTGAGAATGTATACATGTGTGAGTGTGTGTGTGCATGTGTGTGTGTGTGGCGGGAGGTTGGCCCTCAGAGCTGTCAGCCTTGCAAGCTGCATAAGACGGTGTGATGTCCGCTGGAAGTCTGACCGGGGGTCAACGCGACTGCAGGACGCCGTGTGGGCCCAGCTGCGATCTGACACCATGGGCTCCCATCCTGACCAGGGCGGCCCCAGGGATGGGGGCTGGGGACTGAGTGCACGGAGGGGTCTGTGGGCATGCGGGAAGGACAGGGGGTGTGGTCAGTGTCGGACCCCGGAAGCAGAGCAGGTGCAGGACCACAGCTGAAGAGACTGTAACTTGATTGCAAGGTGGTTCTTAGAGACTCTTTTCGCTATTTAACTTGGATTGTGTCGATCAGATAACTTTTACACCAGGGAGCAATCACATTTCCAGAAATAGTCCTTCCTTTTCCAGTGGTCAACAAGTTGCCCTTTGTCCTCACAACACGTTGGCTGTGAATCGCATTAGTACCAACCAAGCAGCAGTGGTCTGCGGGCCCCAAATCCCTTTTGATAGGAGGGAGACTGGCACTGACCCGCGGTTGTATTCCTGGTGGCTGTCCCCGGGAGGGCTCACTGGCCCCATTGTCTTTAAGACTCTTGTGCAATCAGCAGGAGGAGCCTACAAACACCCTGAGGGCATATCATATCACAAATCCACACGCCCCTGGAAGCTCAAGAACACTCTTCTGTGACTGGTAGACTGAAATACACATCCCGGGGGACAGGGAGGGGACAGTGCAAGTGTGGACAAAAGCACTGGAGAAGGGGCACAGATAAAGGAGAAGCCAGACAGTCCTTGAGAAAGTGGCCCTGGTGACAGCTGATCCTTGCCAGTCGTGTCTGTAAGACCCACTGGGCTCCTTAAACATCCTTAGGTTTAAGCCACTCAGGGGAACCACCCCTGGAATCCTGCTGTGTTTATTTTGGGAGGATCCAGTAAGCAGACATCAGTGGTGTGATAGTCTTGGTCATTGTCTTTCACTCACTTGTTCAGACTATCCGTGCAGTGCCCTCCCTCTGCTATGTCACCATCTGTGCTAGGACGTGGGTCCCTGAGGTCAGCACCCTGTGCCCTCAATGTGGCGAGTATTGGCATTAAGTTTGCAAATTTCACGGAAAGCAGGATATAGCAGAGGAAGAAAAGAGCTGGATATTGTAACTGGATTATCAAAATACCCAGTTTAGCATAATAACAGCCCACGTTCTGGCTGGTTTTGCCACTGAGATCTGATTTCTCAGTGTGATGGGAGGAGGGGGTGGGACCAGAAGTGAGGCTGATCTTTGTGCCCAGGGTTCTATTGTCTGCTGTTTCCAACATATTATAGAGTGGTGAGCGAGGCATAGTCTTAGAATTGCTGGATTTTAGGGTGGCTTTTTTGTAGTTCCCAGAAATCATTAAAGTCACTTGTCCCAAACTAAAGATTATTTTCCCATCTTCCTCCCCACATCTATCCTAAACCCTTTGGACATCTGATTCCAAACAGATTAAATCACAGTCCAGTTCTTCTTCCCAAGAGCAGCAATGCACTTCAGATGAGGTCCTGGGGCAGAGCTCACTGAGGTTCATCCAGTTTGTTCCGGGGGTCACTATTAACCAAGCATATAACTGCATTTCCAAGGTACGCCTTGCTACTCTCAGCACTGTTGAAACCAGCATCATCTTTGCCACATTGGAACCAATATGATGAACTTGAATTTTGAATTCCCTCAAAAATTTGAAAAATGTAATGCTTCAGAAAGCCCTGTCCATTTTCCACTTGGTATAGTTCATAACTCTTCAGAGTACCTACTTGCATAGCACTGATATGCTGGGAAAAAAAGAACTCTTTTCCTGCTAGATACACTAAAAATATTAAATCTATTGCTTGAAACCTATTACCGAAATACTGAAAGAGGAAAATACCTTGGTTCCTTGGGGAATGGATGCATTATGGTAAATATTGTAATCTGAATCTGACCATCTGTGTTTTCCTCTTTTCAGATACACAGTTTAGAATTGATAGCATATATAATAACAGTTAACATTGATTTAGCATTTTCTAGTAATCTAGTTTGTAGATTATTCTTCCAAGTAATTTAACAGCATTTCATTAAAACTCCCCAACAGTCCAGTGAATTATCTCCTTTATATGGAAGAGGAAACACCAATGGAGAAATTAAAAACTTGCCCAAATGCACATGGTCAGAAAATATGGAGTTAGGGCTTGAATTATGCAGACTTTTGTAGCCCTAAAGCCGTATTTCCAGACTCACACATCATTGGACATATAAATGAAAAACCAGGCCCCAGATCCCAAAGGATTCAAGAAACCACTTAAATCCTTCTTAACACCTCAGTATATTTTAACAAATATGTTTGAGTAGGTAACTGGCATAAACATATCTATTCAATTACTTGAAGAACAAAAAAAGAATTTGAGTGTAAAATTTACAATCAAACATTATTCTGTGGGTGTTGAGTTAGCTTTTCCTTTATAGTGAATAAACATTATATTCAAGTTATTTATTGTTCAAGAGTATTTCCACATTTCTGTTTATTAGTGTAACTAGGAAAACTAAGTAACAAAGGACTTCAATATTTGTCTACAAAGTCGCAAAATAATGGTAAAAATAATTGAACTTATGTGGTTCAAATTATTGAACTTAGTTTAAATTAGTGTAGTTCTAAATTAAATTAAAATTTCCTTAAGAGGACTAGAGGTACAGTACAGATTAAGACTAAGAATATCAAACTGATTTTTTAAAAAAGAAAGGTATGGATTTTCAGATTAGAAGTCTTCATGAATCAAGTCCAAGTAATTTTACGTCATATCAATTACTTCAGGCTAACATATTCTATTATGGTACCTTGTTCAACTCCAGTCAGCAACAAAAGAAGGAAATCCTGACAGCCATTCAACACCTCCACTGCTACATACCAATATACAGGCCGAAGAACATTCTCAAAACCCCTAATTATCCTGCATCCAAGCGTTCCTTCTTTATCCATCTCTCCAGAACCCTAAAAACAGAGTCTTGCTTAAAGAGCAATGAATGGGCTAGTGTCTTGTTCACAAAAAGTGAATCTTACAGAAAATACTTGACCCAACTCCCCCACATCCATCGCGGTGACGCCTTCAGGGACCATGCCAGCAGCATCTCAGTCAATGGGTAGAAAAGCTCTACCTGTCGGGATTGCGTGTTAAGCTTCCCCCCAGTGGCGGGTGGGCTGTGGAGATACCCACACTTTCCCTCTCAAGCTTGGAACCAGGCGTGAGCAAAACGGCCCAGGGGCATCGGCTGCGGTACCTGCTTCATGTGGAGTGACCACAGGGAAGAGCAGCAGCCCGAGGAGGAGGGCTGGGCAGCCCATGTTGGGAAGGCTTCCAGCTACTGCAGAATCCTCGGTGTCAGCTTTATATCCCCTCCAGGCTCCCATGTGGGGCGGGCCCTGCAACCTGATGCTCTTTTCGGGCTTGGATTGCCTGGCACTTGGAGGGGGGTCAGTTCCCTTGCTTCGGCATTTTGTGTGCATTTGCTATGGGGGAGAGGTGATTCCACCGCCCAGAACCATTCCATTGAAGAGTCGCAAGGTGCGATCAGAGAGCAGATGAGACAAATCGTGGGCTGGCCCCTGGCTGGGCGGGTGGGACCCCATGGTCCCAGGAGCCCAGGATTTCACCAAAGGCATCGTTTCCTTTGGCATATGGCAGTGCCCAGAGGAAGAAGCTGCCGAAATCCACTCATCTCTCAGTGTCCATGCCTGCCTCTCCTCCTTTCTAGAAGTTTTCCCTTATTCCTGAAATACATTCTCTAATTCCCACAGCACCCACTTGCTACTTCTCTTATAAGCCTTAATACATTCTGCCTTAATTGTAGTTCATAGTACTTTTTGTCCTGTTTTTCCTATTAGCTTGTAATCTCTTTGCGGGAAGGACTTCTCTTTATATCATTTCTGGTCCTACTTATGGTATTGCTTACTTAGTATGATGCCTTGTATTTAAATATTTGTGGAATTGAATGTGGAAGCACTCATTTATACCTGATGCTCTTCAAATTACTGCTGCCCTAACAGGTATTTTATCTCTACTCAGAAAATTGACTTATAGCAACAAATGATCGCATGACTTCAGAGACTTCTCCTCTGCTCTGAGCCTTAGGATGCAACAGTCTTCTGAAAGCCAACACCCCTTCTGGAGCGTGTGTCTAACTCTACATGGCTGAATGAACTAGTGGAATGGAAAGAAGTGTTCATAGACTCAGCGAGCTCTGGATTGTGAAAAGGGTTTGGAAAGAAGGATTTTTCCAAAGGAATACTCAATCTATTCTCTCATTGAGACCGCTCTGCAAGCTGGGTGAATCCAATGTGTCAGTCACCGTGTCCTGCAGGGATGGCCTCTGGGCTTCTCCTGTGTGTAGGACACCCAAGGTCAGCCAGGTCCACGTCTGCTCATGATGGACGAGTTGGATCATGGGTAGGAGGGCTGAGGGCTATGACTTCAGCTCAGAGCACCTGGGTCTTGATTCTTCCCCTGTGATTTTGGGCAATGCACTTAGCTCCTCTGAGCCTTGGTTTCCTCATCTGAAAAGGTGAGATAAGACCACCTGAGGTGAGATAATGCTCAATCTAGAAGGTTCTTGGGAGGATTCGGTAAAATTAAGTGTCTCTAAGAGATCTGTAAATTTCACAAGCAAGTTTATTCTTTCTCAATAGATGTCCTCCTAATAGAGTTTTTGGGCTTTTCTAATGGTCTCACTGCCATTGACCAGAGATACAGTCAAATTCAGCCAAGGCAGGAAGCAGGTGGGCATAAAGGGAGAGAGGGCGTTCCACAGGCAAAAGTAACCAAAGCTGGTGCAATATTTACAGGCCAAAAGTGAATCCTCGGTTTGCTTTTCTATGACTCAGTCTCTCTTTGGAACCCCCATTCTGCCTTCGGCAGACTCTGCAGTTTAGTTAAATGAAGCCTAAATAAGAGGGGTAAAGTAAAACAATAGACAACTCCTGATATTTGCCTAGAACTTAATTATCACCGAGTGTTTCACATTTGTTATTTCATTTTAATTCTTTTAATACTTTTGGGAGTTAGAACAGTAAGCCGTATGTCCATTTCACAGACAGGGAATCTGAGACATGGAGAGACGGACTCTCATGCCCAAGGTCAGCTGGTGAGAAGTTAAAGCTGTATAGTGAGAGATTGAAGCCGTATGGTGAGAACTCAGGCTGGCTGTTCTGTGTCTCTGTGTCCTTAAAAAGACGCACGAGACAAGTGGGTCCTCTGTTTCCCTAAGTTGTGTTATGCATTTATTGTAATTTCTGGGATTATCCTCAACTTCAGGTCTGTAACTCGGGCAGATGCTATGGTACATGTGGTGGTCATTGCCACCTGACTCCACCAACCCAGCGCTTAACCAGACCCTTGCAGAACACGTGGCCTGTGAAACAGATGTTACCCTGCTTCCCAGACCAACTATATAATGGGATAGCATGGCATCTGTTAATTAAAAAACAATAAAAGTTAAACATTTAATCCTCTAGTGATAAAAGCATGACTTTTTTCAATTAATTTATTTTATTAAAATACCATAATTAAGGAACCACGGAATAACTGTATTTTGTCAGGCACAATAAAAACAAAATTGAAACCTGTGTCATCAAGAAAACATGTTATTCCTGGCTTCCTAGCACACATATGATGGGATTGTTGAGAGACAAGGCTGGCAGGTGGCCCCACCCCACAGGGGCAGCTCCTGGAAGACAAAGTTCCGCCTGATGAAAGACTGCTCCCTGGGAGGGCGGGGCATGGGAGGGGCAGGCCAGGCCCCTCTTCTGGGAAACCATCCTGGAGTTTTCATATAACAGTATTTCCTTGGTCACATAAACCACCCAACAGCTCATGCTAGGAATATCTCTGACTAAATATTTTAAACTCCTAACTTGTGAGGGCTTTGGAATCAGACTGGCCAAGCACAGAAATGTTCCCATGGCGAACGGGCCAGGCATGTTTTCTGAAAACCACGGTTGTGGGTGCGTCTGAAGAAGCACCTAAGTCAACAGTGGCCTCAGATGATAATTCTCATGATCCTCACAAGCCTGACCTGCAGACAGAGACCAGCGGTGCACGCCGTCCTCTCATGGCCTGGACAGAAGCTTGAGTCCTTAAATAAACTCAGTTTGTGGAAAAGACCGGCAGTTCATACAGGCATTTGAAAACCCAGGGGAAAGCAGCGGAGATGCTTCCAGGCAGAGGACACATTGCATTTCCAGGCAGGAAGAGATCACTGCAGAGGAGAGGAGAGGGGAGGAGGAGGGTACTCCCTGCATTTCATGAAAGGTTTGGAAGACTCCTCCCCCAAGATAATGGGGACACCTGGTGAAGTTTCCTGAAGAGCCCGTGGTGACTCAGGATTGACACCTACCAGCAGGGCTGGTGTTCACCAGCCTAGACCACTGTCATTGTGCCATTGTAAAAAGATGGCAGATCTATCTTACTGGTGGGTAATGAGCCCCCCAGTACCCCATACAACCCTTTGGAACGCCACCTCCCTTCCTGAGCCCAGAGCTCCCCAACATAAAATGCAAACACAGAGACCAGATTGGTCATCTCTGTGGTGGCCCTGTATCAGGACGTCGGTATTTCAAATATCACCCAGCTGACCAGGGCAGCAGACTAAAACTCTCTGTCTGGTGTGTTTCAGAAGCAGATGCCTCCTAGAACTTTTGCATCATTTGAAATATATATGCATATTTAAATGTAGCTCATAGCTACACACACCTTAACAATAGGTTAACAAGGCTAACAATAATGGCTCATATTGACTGGACATTCTTTACCAATGAATGTCCAGTCAATATGAGTTGTTTTCATTGTTGACCTTGGTGGTGGTCCTTGATTCAGACCAGACCTGCCATTGGAGGGTAGTGGCACTGGGCACAGCTAAACCCTTGCCTCTCAGTGTTTTCCTGGGCGAGTTTCCACCATTTATATTCAATTTTAATCTCCTTATCAGCCCGATTTGCATCGTTCAGTCGCCACACCATTTCCTGGGGAATCTAAGCTCTGATCATATTGAGATTGGTGGTTTTTTGTTTTGTTTTGCTTTTTCTAACTTTCCATACTGTGACCTTGCTCAAATCAGCGAAACTTGCCCTCAGTACAGAGGTTCCTTTGTCAAACTCCCTTCAACGGACCTCCTGAGAAGGAGGAGGAGGGGAACCAGCCTCTGGCAGCTGCTGTGGGTCCTCCCCGCGGATTGACACAGGGGCCTTCCTGGAAGCAAAGACTCTCTAAATGCAAAATCGCTTGTATTTGTGACTTCTGTGTGTGTGTGTGTGCGTGTGTGTGTGTGTTGTGGGGAGGAGTAGGTTCTCTCTTCGCAGCATTTCTCTCTCCTTGTAAATTAATTCTAATACAGTTTTCCCATCATTTCTTCGCTACCTTCTCACTTTGACCTCATCATCAGAGCTTCCACACATCAGAAGTGGTAGAGCTGACACTTGAACCCATGATGAACCCCTTCACTGAGGAGCGATACATTTCTTCTCAAAATGAAGACACCTGAGCTTCTTCTCTTCCTTCTCTTTCATTTGCATGGGTCACTGTCGCTGTATCCAGGGCGCTGACTTATTAAGGGTCTTAGGTCATTACCAGCAAAGGTGAGTGTCCACTTCTGGTGTGCCAAGTACCTAGTTTGAGGACAGAAATTGCTTTTTTCTCTTATCTGCACTTCAAGTTAATCACCCTTTTTAAAAGCTATCTTTTGTCTTTGGATTTGGTCTGTAAAACAGATAATCTTTTATTCTTACTTCCTGGAATGCTATATCTTACTTAAACATTAGGGAGGAATAGGTATAGGTCTTAAGAATGATAAAAGTGATTGATTCTGAAGCATAATGTATCAAGTCTTGGTAGAATAAAACAAAACTCTGTAGCCCAAGTGTCCCTGTGACAATTTACTTTGGCTTGAACTGACCTCTGTCTACTCTGTCATGCTCCATATCATTTTACAATACTCATGCTAGATTTTATTCCAAAGCCCAGAATTTAAAAGATGGCTCAGAGTTGTAGAAATTCTCTGGGAAGCATTTGCAGGATCGGATCAACTGAACTTGCAGAACAACAGCCTTCTTACTCCTTGTCCACGGTACGATGTTCCCAGGAGCCATGGAAGGTGGTGACTGCAGCTACTGTCTCTGAACTTTAGAACCTGGACAAGACCTGGTGTGTGAACTACTCCAAGTCTGGCTAGAAGCCACAGCCAGGTAAAGTCACTCTATATTTTCCCCGGACACTTAAAACATCTCACATTGCTTTAATGTGCCTAAAACCAATGTCCTTGAAACTGTAACTGACCTTTTCAAATTTGGAAAGGAATTTGCTACAGTTTACAAAACAAAAACCAATGGGATAAGTTGTGAAAGTATGGAGACCACCACCCACTTGGAGAGCAAACATTCTTTCCTGCTTCCGTATCTTTTAGAATAGTGGAATGTTTCCCTCCAATAATTGCCACATGACGTCATAGTTAAGATAAGTATATCATTCATGGAGAAACTTGTTTTAAAAATAAATCATAGATAGTAACTTCCTAAAGGAGAAGAATGCCATGGTCATGTTGTGGTGGCTTTTACATCTAACGTATGTTTCTTTTATTATTTTTCCACGCTTAATCATCATGCTAGTTGCCTAAACTTAGGATATCTTAAAGCCATGGTCTATAGTTACAAGTGTAGTTAGGTTTCAGTTAGTCTCTTCTAAATTGCACCCCTTCTCAAGCAAACCTCATCTGCACACAGCAAAGCACAGCAAGAGGCCACTTGCCTAAATGACTACAGGAGAAAGGCAAGAAAGCTCTGAGTGAACGTTAGAGCCATGGGGTATTTAACAACCATGCAGAGGAAGTCCCCAGAGGGAAAGTCCTCAGAGGAACACCCCATATTCTGCCTGAAAGGACTGTGATCCAAACTACATGTGACTTAGACTGAGAAAGTAAAAGGAAGGAAAGACGGACAATGCAACCACAGAATCAGAAAGACTTCATCTTGAATTTCAACCTAAATAGCATTTAACACTGACCTACGTTGCATCCTAAATCATGACCACTGAAAAGACAATGGAGAATCATTTGCACTGGACTCGGCCCAAAGAGATGACAGCAGTATTTGCATAGAGAGGAGCTAAGCCTTGTCCTACCTTCATTGTCTAATATCCCAGACCTGCTGGACCACCCCTGCCTGCACCTTAAGCCTGTTGTAGCAAAGCATTTGCACTTCTCACATCTGAGTGCCAGGACTCTGAACCAGTACAATTTTTTACATTGAAAATTAGCACATAATAGCGTATATGGATATTGAATTATAATGTCCTACACCTGACCCTTATATAATGTGATTAACCAACCAATGCTACCTCTTTTTTTTTTAATTACACTTTTTTTCTTTCCGCCAAGGTGGAGGCATAGGTAGATACACTGTGCCTCCTTAAACAACCAAAAGAGGGCAGCAACAAATTTAAAAAAACAACCAGAAGTGACAGACAATTGAACCGTATGGAAGTCTGACAACCTAGGAGTTAAAGAAGAAATATTCATCCAGACCAAATAGGAGGGGTGGAGATGGGCAGTCAGGGCAGAGAGTGATAAGTTTGTTCACATACCAGTCAAATGCCAGTCTCAACCTGTCACTGAATATGTCAGGCGTGAATACGCCAGGCGTGGCCTCTCTTATTGACAGCTCCTCCTTGCTCCAGGGACTCAGATTTGCCACCAGCCCACATGGACTTGAGCAACTCCTTTCCAGCCCTTTGTCTTTAGTTCTCTGCAGGTGGACAGACCCCCGTAAACCTTTGTCTGGTCGGCTAGGTGGAGTGCACCTCCCAGAGGGCCAATTTCTCACCCTCCACATTCTCTTTTCAGTGGTTCACTTCTCAGGTGGGGCAGGTAGCAACCCTGATAGGAGACAAAGCTGAATTAAATATGCCCTTGGGCAAGGGGCACAGCAAGTCAAGAATGGAGGCAGGTATCTGCCTATCATGGGAGGGAGAGTAACCCTTCAACCCTACAATCTTAACTTGGAGTGGCTCCAGGTGGAAGGGTCTTTTCTCCTGTTTTATTTGCATCTAGATTTCACAAGGACTGACAGGCGGGCAGGAGCATTCCAAACACAGGAAGGCTGCCCCTCCCCTTGTCTTCTGCCTTGTCTGGTTGTAGTGGAACCAGCAGAACCACAGCTGCGTTTGCCTAGCACTGTCTCCATGCTAGACTAATACAGGAGGATGTTACAATAGTATAAGGGAGACCACAGGCCACACAGCCCCACCATAATCCCATGGAATCTCAGAACAGCTCAGTCACCTGTGTGATAGCCCTATGGGAAGTTAGGCAGATCTTTCCCCTGACTCTCCAGGGAAGCCATTAAGCCCAGTGAACTCAGGCATTAGTCCAGCTACAAGCTCAGGCATGTACTTCCGGTTTCAAGGGAAGAGGGCAGGTGTCTTAGGCATGGACCTAGTGTGGTACCTCCAGCAGTGAAAGAGGGACAACACAATACCCAACTGACCCCACAGCAGAAAGCCAAGGAGGAAGGGGTAATTTAAAGCTAGAAAGGAAAGGATCGTTTTCTTTCTTTTCTTTTTTAATTTTTTATTTTTAATGAAATACTTCTGAATTTTATTGTTGTTCAAGTACAGTTTTCTGCCTTTTCATTTTAATATGAAGACATTTGAAGGCAAATCGGTAGAGACAGAAAGTAGACTGTAAGACAGGCAGTTGTCAGCAGGTTAACTGTAAAGAGGCATAAGGGATCTTTTGGGGGGATGGAAATGGTCCACAATTGATTAGTGGAGGCAGTTGCATGGCTTGGTAAATTTACTAAAAATCATTGAAGTGCATGTCTAAAACAGGTGAATTTTATGGTGATCTCAATAAAATGAGATCACCATAAAATGCTCAGCAGTTTTTAAAAATTAAACTGCTGAGCATGCCACCTCATTCAAGGGGAGGTATTAGGCCAGCCTCATGCCCCCAGGGGAAAAGAGTCAACTCTTCAGTGTGGCCTCAGGCTCTTCCAATCTTTGCCTGTCCTTTTCCTGGCTTCTTCCCCCACCATGTCCCCTACCCCATTTCTCCAGCAAACCCAAGCTGCTTCCAGTGTCCGGAGCACACCAGGCTCTCCCAGACTCTCCCCCTTTGCTGTGTCCTGTGTGTGGAAGGCCCATGCCTCCTGCCTGCCTGACTTGTCCTTCAGGAGTTAGTGGAGAGGTCACTTGCTCAGTAAGGTGATCAGTTTAAGCCCAGATCTTCCAAGGTCAAGAGCAGAGGGACTCACCAAGCATAAGAGAGCCAGATCTCATGCTTGGACCTCACCCAAGTCCTCTCTCTGGGACTCACTTCCTCCTGTTAACCCTGGGGTCCTGGCATGGGAGGCACTGCCTGCTCTCCCTAATCCTCCCTCCCTTCAGCCCCAAATGTAACCTTATGGGCAAGACCAGACTGGAACCATCAAAGCTCAGGCTCACTGCTCAGGGGAGTATCTGGGTTCTGAAAGACAAGCAAGTTGCCAAAAAGGAGAGAGGTATCTGAGACATGAGGGAAGTAGAAACGGCAGCCTAGAAGATCATTTCAAGAAGCATGGATAGTGGCCCAGAATGGACCATGAGAAACTAAGACTGGAGAGGTGATGCCATACCAGAGAGAGAGATTTGAGCTGACTGAGCCTGCATCCCAAAAGAACCAAGTGGTCTTTCATGGCTTGCAAGTAACAATGACATGGTCAGATCATCTCTGTGGCAACTCTCTTCCTCTACACACCAACTTGACCCTAGGGCATACCTTGATGCCTGAACTCAGACCTCACAATAGCTCCCAAGTGGACCAGTTATGATGCAAGAAGGGGTAGTGACTGCCCCTTCATTTCCCATGAAACTGTCTGAGAAAGATTAACTCCAGTCATTGACACCTCCCATCCTAGCCTATTGCCAGAGTATGATCAGAGAGTGGGAGAATGGCTGTCAGAAGACTGGAAAACAGAGGCCTGGAGATCCAGGGGCCCAAGAAAGGAAGGCTGCAGAGGGGAAGCCAAGCAAGAATGGAATACCAGCCAGAACACTGAACATGGGTGATTCTCTTCAGGGTAAAGATCACCTGTGTTGCCAAGGAGATCGATGTTCTGCTTCACTTTTGGGGTGAGTGTAGCTGTGTTTCCTGTCCATTCCTTCCCATGCATCTCAGACCAAGGCCAAGTGGAAGAACCCACCCTGAGGCTGCAGATACCTGGGTCACTGTGGCCTTGGCCTAATTAATGGAGAATTGCTCTTTGTAAGAGCTCCCATTCCCAAACAAGGACCTAGGAAGACCCTCTCCAGAATTCTCATGCACCTGTCTCTTTGCCTTCCAGGCCATGGATCCAATTCTGCCAATCAGACCCACGCATGGCCCTCGGGAAATACTCCCCTTTGGAGAAAGAGATCCTAGTAAGTGTCCTGATGTTTATACAGAGTGAGGCCCTGCTGAAGGCAGGTTGTTACCCTAGGTCAGGGGTGTCCAACCTTTTGGTGTCTCTGGCCCACATGGAAGAAGAAGAGCTGTCTCGGGCCACATACTAAATACATTGCAACATGTAATCACAAAAAAAATCTCATAATGTTTTAAGTAAATTACAATTTTATAAATTTATAGTGATCCATGAGCCTTGAGTAGGACACCCCTGCTCTAGGGGGAGCCAGAGGTTCCCAAACAACCAGCAGTAGAGATGTAAGTCTCCCAAACAGGACTCAAGTCGGCTGAGTCTGCTAGTGGCTTTTACACTTGCATAGTAAAATACTCTCTTCTTTCAATGTCCCAAATAGGAATACAACTGTAAGTGATAACAAATGGCAGAGATACCGTTTCTTGAGCCCTTACTTTGCACTAGTGGCTCTGGTAGATGATGTTTTCCAGAGGCAAACAGTGGTTCTGTGGGTCAGTGAAGTTCTTTCAAGTTCATAGTACCCAAGCAGAGTCAGGAGTGGACCCCAGGCTTGCCTGACCCAAAGACTCACCCTCTTGCCCACTACACAGGGACTCAGACACACTCAGCAATGAGGGGAGAAGGTGCCACTAGCTAATTCTTCCTGTGGACACCCCCTGCTCCTGTCCTGGGGACACTCTAATAACCCCCGTCTCATTGTCAGCGTCTAGGTGGGGTTCACACCATAGCATCAAGAAAGTTTCTGACTTATAAGCAAGAGGAGGAACGGAAGATGCTCAAGAAACTCCAGTTGCTGTCTTCAGACTACAAACAGGTGGTGGAATATAAAAAACGACAATCCTCAGCCTGTTCCACCTGCTGGCCTGCAGAAGCAGTATGGAAGGCCAGGGTGGTCGTGCCCCCAGAAGAGCTGAAAGTGCCACGACGAGAGCGGCATGACATCAGCAAGCACAAGGAGCGCATGCAGTTCGCTCGAGCCCTGAGAAGTAACCCGCAGCTACCCTCCATTCTAAGGGCGAGGAACTCCTCAGTTCTGTCCTCAGGGGCCCTGGGCCCAATGACCAGAGACAACGTCTGGGAAGATGAGGGTGAGGATGATGACGACAATGACTACGATGACGACATGCAAGAGGAGAGAGAGAGAAAAACCTCAAAGAGACAAGAAATAAAAATGAATGTAATTTTCAAGGCAGAAAAAAACAAAAAATGTTTAACATACCAGCCCTCAGACCTGAAACCATTCTTTCCCACAAAGAAAGTGGAACGGTCCATCACCGGCTTAACGAACCGCAATCTTTTTCCCGTGGCTGAATTCCCGGGAGACCTACTGCTGATGAACCAGGCCTGCCTGTCACGAGGCATCCACCCCAGTGAGGCGACAAAGGCCAACTGCCTGGAAGGAGAGAGTGTCTGGAGAGAGTACACGGGAAAACCAGCATCTCACCATTATTGAAGGTTTATTGATTGATTGCCTATGGCGAACTAAGCGTCATGATCCTTGTTTTTCTTGCCACTCTGCCTGCCTGGGTGCCTTTCCTCCCTGTCTTCTGGGACCCGAACGCTGGGTGTCCTCAAGGTATGATCTACCTGCTAAGGCTTCCCGATTTCAGGCAGCTCCTGGCTCTTGGCTCCCACCTACCTTCCAGGATGTAGGCTCCTCCTCTTCATCTTCTCCCACGGCACCCCAAAATTTAGTTGTTTAAAACAATAATCATTAATTTAGCTTGTAATTCTGTGGGTCAGCAATTTAGGCTGAGCTCAGCTGGGAGACCCTCATGTGTCAGCAATCAACTGGCTTCAGGTAGGTGGCTCCTCCTGGGGGTTGACAACCAACAGCTGGGTCCATGGGAGTGACTGGGCCAGGTTTCCTCCCTCCAGCAGGTTAGCCCAAGGGTGTTCACAGGGCCATTGCAGGACCCAAGAGAGTAAGTGGAACTTTGCAAGTTCCTTTGAAGCCCAGACTTCGAACTGCCACACCACCATGGTGTCCCATTCTGTTGACCAAAACAAAAGCATTCCCTGCTTTGGGCAGAACCAAACATGCCATGGACAAAGGAAGACAACTTACTTATCCATTCTCAGGAAGGTTCTGGAAAGCAAAGGGCAGAGGCCGGTGACGTCGATCATTTCTTTGGACAGCCCACCCTACTTAGCTTCGTTTGAAGGTATCTAGTGCTTAGGTGAGTCACTACAAACAATGACCAAACTGATACTTGCTTGAAATCAATTCTTTATTCGGCTTCTCCTATAAATTGAGAGGTTAAGATGTACACACACTACAGGGCTAAGAAGTGAGTTTCTAAAAGGTCAGAACAGTAATTCTCTAGAGGGAGCTCTGCACCTGTGAGCGTTTGGCACACAGTCACACGCAGGGTTTTAGATGCAGCAGCTGCTGGCCCGACATTCAGACCCAGCACTGAGACCGGTTTTAGGAAAAGCTGCCCCTGACTTTTCCCACCCCCATCCACCATAAGCCTGGGCCATAGTAAACAGAGTTGGGGTGCTGTTGGGTGCCATGCTCAAGGCACATGTTTCTGGCTTGTTTGTCTGTGCTCTTGGGGCCCAGGTCTGAGTATTGTCCTGAGCCTTCATTCCTCTGATATCACGTCGCAGAGCCACCATTTGTAGGGGCAAGCAGTATCCAGACCCCCCCTATTGTGGTGCCCCTGGAAGAGAAGGGAGAGGAGAGGAGTGAGCAGGGTCCTTGTCATCCCATCACACCCATCTCCCTACCCTGACACCCTCCCCACAGCTCTGACTCCCCTTAGAGGTACCCTGCACTGTCCTCTCCGTCTGGAATGGTAAGCATTTTAGGGGTGAGGCTTTTTACCTGTTTCTGTTTTTAGTTATTTGTCTCCTGGCACATAGTAGGCCTTCAGCAAATATGCATGGTATGAATGAATAAGTAAGGAAAGAGACTAGAATCAGCCCAACATGGGATGGCCTGAATACGGGCCACGAGGAGAGAGAGCTGTTAAAGATGCTCCAGGGGGTGGAGCCGTGTCACCCAGGGGATGGCTTGTGAAGACTACTGCTACCCCAACACTGCCCCTGTCCCTGGAGCCACCACCTCTGGTGACCTGACCTGGCCTTGGCCTGCACCTGAAACCCTGGGACTCACTCTGCAGACACTTCCACATCCACACTCACAACAGATCAGCACACGTGGTCCCCACTCCAGGTGAGGACAATGAAATGGCTTGGCCAGTGTCAGCCCCTGGGAGCTGTCAGAAAACATCTGTCTTGCCTGTACCCCGTGGCCTTCTCACACCCTGGCTTCCTGTTCCTGGTACTCCAGGTTGTTCTCGTCAATGTCATCAGTAGTAATGTTCTCATTACAGTTGTTAATACCGGTGGCAATAACAACTTGAACAAAAGCCACCATTCATCACGCTCAGTGGCTGTAACAGGCAGAGGCCACGACACTTTACCTAACATTATTTTAGGCAACTCTCTCATCTGTCCCAACAGGTAAGTCTGAACAGTTTGGTCTTACAGATGAGGAGTCAGAACCCAGAGGTCAGAGGTGCCAGGTGGGTTTGCATCCCAGGTCAGATCTCCATTGACCAGACTCCACGTGTTGGTCCCTATTAGACCAGGAGCCCTTGGGAGAAGGCAGGAGGCAGGTGCAGCGGAACTCTGTCTCACTGGGCACGGCACAGCACAGCATGCCACACTCACAGTAGATGCCCAGTTCTCGGTGGAACACAACACCGACTGCAACACCCTGAGTCCCTGTGGGTCATGGGCCTGGGCCCCCGTGGGCACTGGGTTGGGAGGGTGGTCACCTACCCAGGGTCCTCTCCTCAGTGTGCAGGGGCCGCAGCTGGATGGGTCCCAGGGTGACATCCACCTTCTCCTGGTAGGAGCCCACGTCCCTCTTTGACCTCATCACGCAGCCTCTGTGGCAGCGGGAGGAGTAGTCGTAGGCCCTGCACACCACCATCTTACACCGCAGGTACACAGAGGGGAAGCGGTCCAGGATGTGGAAGGAGCTGAATTTGAAGCGGACGATGTGCGGCGATGGCTGAGTGTAGGATTGGTAGGTCTCGTCCTTCACACACCTGGAAGAAGAGAAAAGGAACCTGTTCACGCTCACCAGGGCCTCATCCATCGTGACTTGGACCCACTGGGTGTGGAACTCAACACCTGACTTCAGGGCACACCTCCTGTGGCACCCCATTGCCTGCTTTGGAATGCGTGGTTCCCACATTCACTCCTGGCTGTGCAGGAAAATCCTGGAGTTCGTGCACCTCAGCAGCATCTTAGAGCAGCGGGCCAGTCCAGGTGTCCACATTGACAAGCTGGCCCCATATTGCACAGTGACTGTGTGCTCAGTGGTCCCAGGTTACCCAGGTGAGACAGGAAGTGACAGGGCCCAGGAAGAGGACAGGAGGGAAGATGGCATTTCCTTCCCTCTCCATGTCTCAGGGTCAGGCAAGGTGACACCTGGCTACCCATGGGTGTCTTTGGTGCCTTCCCCTCTCCAAGGCTGTGTCACCTGACCCACCCCAGCATGGTCTGGGGACCCTGCAGGTGTCTGAAGCTCAAAGATAGTCTAATGGACATCCAGGTGGGTGATTTGTTTGATTCCCAGGTGTAGCCCATGAGTCCCTGAGCTCCAGATACAGCTGGGAATCATGTATCCCCATATGCACATCCTCCCTTCCCATAAAATTGCATTGCCTTATATACATGTACATGCCAGAGTTTGACCCAAAAGGTGCCTTTAATGGAGAGGACCCAAATCACTAACTACCTGGCATTAATCGCAATCATTGGACAGAACTTCAAAGGTCACCTGGTGACCATTTGTAAAAAGAGCATCTAGGGAAACTTCTTCCCCATCTTGGCTGCCAAGGAGGCTGTTGTGAATTGAACCACTGTGTAGCTGCTAGACAAATCTCAACCCCCATTTACCAAGTCGACACTTAATGAAAATTGTGCCCAGAAAGAGATGCTGTTCTTAGAGTCTCAAGGAGGAGTGAAATTTAACCTCCTGGCCCTGAGTCCTAGCAGATCGCCTTCCCCTGTCAGTACCACTTCTGTGTGAGGCAATTGTTACTGAGGTGCCAAGGTCAAATTATGAGCCCAGAAACGATGTAGACACCAATGGGCAGAGACGAAAGACGAGTCATTTCAGCTGCACACCCCAGTGTCCCTGTGAGCTCTCAAGAGTCCTGTACATAGGAAGACAAGACTCTATAAGACAGCCCAGCCCAGGCATCAAGGCCCTGGCCTGGACACCACTGGCCTTGCCTCTGCATCTTTGACCTTGGTGGGAACCCTGGACTCTGAGCACCTCTATGCCCAATTGATGTAGGTCAACATTCTGGGCCTTCAGTGCTATATTCATTGTGGACCACCTACTGTGCATTTTGTTTCCCAAATGCCCACCTACTCTTTCTCCTTTAATCCTCCCAGCAGCCTGTGATGTGTGCACCACTATGCTCATTTGATGGGTGAAAAAACTGGCTCAGAGAAGTGCACCTGCCCTCCCAGAGTGCTATGGATGGTCACGTGGCAGAGCTGGCATCTCAGTCTCCATCTGATTCAAAATGAATACTTCCTCACTACACCCACGTCCTTCTAATACTAAGGCTTGCCTTGAGTTCAGTGACCTGCAGCCAAAAGGTAGTTTACAACCAACCTGCTTGGTGACCACTGGTGAGTCATTCAATTCATCACACTCCCACCTCACTGTACGTTACTCAGATGGGACAACCTGACTGGTTAAGCTTGAGCTCTTAGGGCCAAATTCTGCATTCAGAAGCCTTGGGCTACTTGTGTTTGGGTGATCAGTGATAGGTTGAAGTCCCCCTCGTGAAAACATTCCTTACCCACTCCGGATTAGATAGTAAGTCAAAGATGTAAAGTCATTGGGATTTGGAGATGCCACACAGGTATCCACGAACAAAGCCAAAGAGGTGTTGGCATGAAGGATTTCAGCCTGAAGGTACAAACTCTGGTTCAAGTCCACATAGTACTGGCCGCTGGTGACAGGATGTAAGAATGAAGGGGATGTATAAAAGGAAATGTTCACGTCATAATTGCCATACTGCACTTCCTGGATGTCAATGCTGTTGTTAATGATGTACATTGTGTCCACCCAAGTACTCTGGAGCATTTTGCAGCTGACGTGAATGTGGATGTCCTTGGTCCTCTTGATGATGCCTCTTGAAGCAGCTGCCCTGATGACGTTGGAATAGGTGATGGTGTCACTGTCAACCTGGGAGAGGCAGGCAGGGGAGCAGAGTCAGGCCCATGTCTCCTGCTAAGAGACTCTCATTGCTGGTTCTGTTTGGAATGAGAGGGAAGCCACTCTACAGGCTTCAAGAAGCCTCCCAGAACCAGAGATGGCACAGGCCTACTGCCAGGGCCAGCATTATCTGGGATGGGCATGCTGCTTAACTTGTAGGACCCTCCTTTCACAATCCCCTCTTCTCTCCCACTTACAGGGGACCACCGTGGGGACCAGGTGTTGAGGCCCCCTGGGAGCTGCTCCTCATTGGGAGATGGATGTGTCCTGGTGATCCCTTGCCCTGTGGTATGACTAAGCTGAGTGTGGACTCCAGGGCTAAGGACCATTCTGGCTTGTTCTTTTTCATTGTCCCTGTTGGTGGGAGAAATCAGGGGAGGCAGGCATGTACTTAGGAGAGGGGCTGCCTGCAGTAGTTTGCACTGCACTGTCTGGATCGGTGGCTGGATCTGGGTCAGTGGCTATTGCAGTGTGGCATCTGAAGCTACCAGGGCTGAAAGTGACAGATCAGAGTTATTGTTGCAGCAGGTCTCTGGCCGCTGGAGCAAAGGGTCCTCCCCAGAGCTCAGATGGACAGTCAGGTGGACGTGGCGAGGCAGAGTACTCTGTCACAGCCTGCTTTCTCACTTCCTGCACCACATCAAGCACCAAATTCATAAGAATATTGCACCATTTGATGTGCCTACCACCTAGTGAGAGTGAGTTTTCTGGGGATGAGAACCTTGCACCAGGTGGTCTGTGAGCATCTCAAGCAAAGGATGCTTTCTTTCCCCAGGGCTTGGCATGTTCAATCACAGCATCAGTAGCATCAATAAATACCCCTGGAAGGGATGACAGGGACAGGGGTTGGAAGTCAAGCAAAAGCACTGTGGTGGAGTAGGATGGGACCAAGAGTAGCTTCTCTAATGGCCCAAATGGCCAAGAGGACGCAGGTGAACAAGGCCCCCTGGAAGTTCCAAGGTCATGATCATCTGGCTCTGAGTAAGTTGAGCCCAAGAGAATCATGGCCAGGAGGAGACCAGGGGAAACTCTTCCTTTCCCCAATACTGGGATGGTCAGAAGCAAACTTCTAGCCAGGTACAAGTTCCCACAAGCTGTGGGTGCTTTGGCAAGGAGGAGCACCATAGCAGCCTAAATGCAAACCCTAGAATGTAAGGCAACCTGATATGTTATCACCGAGGAAGGAGTAAGTTATGTTTGCATTCTTTCACTTAATGAGGCTCCCGCCCCTCTCACCCACCCCAACCACAAACTGTATAAGCTTCCAACTCTTGAAGCTGCTGGCATGAGTGGTGGCCAGCTGGGCCCTCTCGGTGCTGGAAAGTGCTGGAAACACTGCCTGCTGCCCTCACCCCATCCTCCTTCTTTCTCTTTGGATGTGGCAAGGAACAGATTTATATGCTCACCCTGATAACGTTCTGGTTACACAGACATAATCATGTCACCTGGCTCCCCAGAATTCTAGCAACACAGTGCACATATTCCAGTAAGAAAGCTTTCTCAGCAGGAGGTAGAGTGGGAAGGCCCAGGCTTACCTGCTGGGTGGTGCCACAGCCTGAGTGGGGAATTGTGAAGGTCACCTGGCTTGATGTTATATGGGGCCTACACTGGTAGACTCCGTTCCAGCTGGGAATGACAAGGTCACTGGCAGAATAGCCCAGGGATTCCAGGTAGCGCCTGCTCACATTGACTTGCATTTCATTCGACAGACAAAGCAGCTCTGGCAACCAAGGGCAGATAATGAAGTTAGCCAGCCCCCCAGCCCCAGAAAGTCCCTCTTAAGCTCCCCCCATACAGAGTTGCTGGGACCGAGGTGGCTGACAAAGACAGTCCACATGAGGATACACTCCCACCACCACCCCCTGAGGGGTCCTGTGGCTCCAGTGAGTCTCATTCTCAGGAGAGCCCTGTGTGGACTCAGGCACTGGGGACTCCTCAGGTGAAGAACCGAGGGCAGGATGTGAAAGGAGTGAAATGTTTGGCCAAGGTACCATTATCTAGAAAGTAAAGTAACGCTCCAGGTGAGTTGTGGGGATGCTGTGAGATAAGGTCCTGCAGCTATGGAGCAGGTTCAAAGCTTAAAATGCGGGTTGAAAATGAGCGCTTGTCCATCACCTGGCCCAGTCCCTGGCCAGCCTGTAAATGAGTCCATTTAACAGCTGGAATGGTGACCATGAGCCTCTGCTGGAAGTGGCTGAGTGACCAGTGACTTTCAGACAGCAGCCAAATGTGCCAGGTCTCAGGACATGTCACAGTGTCCCATGCTCTGGAATGGTCACAAGGCCTCAAGCCAGGGCTCACTTCTGCCCTCGGCACGGATGTCTCACTATATGCTGAAGGCATCATCTTGCACATTCTACTCCGTCTCTGCTGACCACATTAGTAATGTCAGTACACAGCATATTGGTCAGTTCTCACCCTTGACCTCATTTCTGGGCAGCTAGAGTCCCAAGACCCACTGCTCCTATTCCACTTCAGCACCAGATCAAGCCTCAGTGACCTGCCAGGGCTGCTCCTGGTTCCGGTCCCACCACCACAGAAAGGATGAGGAGGAGAGGGCTCTGGAGGGTGCCCCAACCCAGACAAGCCTGGGGACTTACTGGTGCTGTGGTTGGAGGGACTAGAGTAGTAGTCAGCCTGGAACCCCCTCCTGGTGACGCTGCCATCGCTGACAAAGCGGATGGACATGAAGTTGGATGATGAAGTGAAGGCGTCCCTTGCCCCGTGACAAAGCCGGGCCATGACAGGGGAGCTGTGGTAGGGGCCATCGAACACTTCGATGTAATCGTAGTTACAGTTCCCCTCGAGCCTGTGGAGACAGGACACATGGCTTTGGCTTCACCTCCCACCAGGAGTGGAGGCAGGAGGTCAGGTGTGGGTGTGGGGTCACCCCTAGGTCAGAAACTCTGAACAAAATTTAATAACTGAAAATAACAGATTCTCTTGAAGAAAGCAGAGGTTCCTCTCCCCATGGTCTGCATACATGGGTCTTAGTCCTTCCTGCTTTTTGGGGTCACACATTTGACATGTCCATCCCCTCTCTCGACAGCCCTTTGAATCATAGCAGGAAAGACTCCCACCCTGCCTTACACTTTCTTCCACAAAAAGAGCCTGGTTTCCCCTAGAATGAAATGAATATCCACGAATTCATGGTGATGGAAATGAGTTACTGAGTGAGCACAGGGTTGGACAAGTCAAATTCCCTCCCTGAAGGTTGGGTTCTTGCCTACAAGGGGATCATCCTATCCGTGCACAGAGCCCCTGTGAGGCTCAGATGGAATAGCTCATGGAAAGTGCTTCATAGAGTAAATGCTGTGGCCATTGCTGTCAAGATGCTGCCTGAAGAACCAGCCCTGGTGGGCCTCCCTCCATGGGACTTCATGAGCTTTAAATGAAGTCCCCGAAATCCACATGAATTATAATGACAAGTCAATCATAATCATCTATCTTCTGTAAGACCTCACATTAATTTCCAAGGCAGGGACATCCCCCCAAAGCCACTGCAAATGAGAAATCGAAAGAGAAAACAATCTTGCTTAGTGGTGACTCAGAGGGAAGAAGTTGTGGTGCCTTCTCTCCAGGACACTCAAAGCACTTGTGCCCCTTGCATGGCCACTCCCCACCCCAGGCCAGTCACACGTTAATGTGCTTTGATGATGTCTCTTCTGTCTAACAGAATGTTTTTTCCACTTCTACCTGAGCCCTGGGACCTGCTCCCAATAAAAGAGGGAGCGCAGAGAAGAGAACAGCTGGTGTGTTTGTTAATTGGGTCCTTTGCATTATTATTTATTAGTATTGCTCCCAACAGAGTCCCTCCCCTGGATAATGTTTTCCAAGTACCTTCATGTGTGTATTTCTCTTGTGACATTTCCAATAACCAGGGAATGGTGGAAGGGTGAGCAGGTATTTTATTTCTCTTTTCTGACAGAGGCTAAGGAAAGTTAAGGGATCTCCTCCAGACACACAGCAAATTTGTGACCAAACTGAGACTTGAAACTAAGGCCCTTGTCCTGGCCCCACTTTCCTGGGCTGTCTTCATGCTGAGTCACAAATTGAACCCACTGGAGAAAATGTCAATGGGAAGCCTCTTTGATAAAGTTCTAGGTCCCGTCTGTTCACTTCTAAAGTGTCTGTGTATCCATGTATCCCGCTCCACACCCACACACTCACTGCACGTCTCTGAAGACAACGGTCACGTAGTCATTATTCTGGACCTCGATATCCCACACACACCGGGCGTTGTTCGGGTAGTTCCCGGGATAGAAAGGGCTGGAGAAGCGTCCTGATGGCTGGGACAGGAAGCCTCCACAGGAATAATTTGCTGCTGCGACAAAATAGAAATTCTGTGGCCCCGAGAGCACAAAATTGCTGCACAGAATGCCAACAGGAGGTGGCCTAGACCTGGCCTGTCCACCCAGGGTCAGCGGGAAACCCTTCCTGGGTCACTACACTTAGGAAAGCCCTCTCCTCATGATTCCCATCATCTCTCTCCAGTGCCACTGCCCCTGAGGGTGAAGGGAGAGGGGATTCATCAGGGAGCTCAACACTTACAGGTTGGACTGGTGACAATGTGGGAAGGAGCTGTTGACAAAGAGAAAAGATAATGATGAGTTTCCTGGCATCCTTGACACAGTCTTGGAGAGCTTGCTTGCTCTGTGCCAGAAATGTGCTGACCCTGGGGCCACATGGAGATGCTGGCTACAGGCCACACCCTCAGGGAGCTCATGGTCTGAGGGAGTGGCTGGGATAGAGTGAATGGAACAGAGTGAATCCTAACACAGTGGGCAGATGGGAGCCAAAGCTTTGGCTCCAGACCCAGTGTCAGCAAATGAGTCTGCTTTTCTCGTAATCCTCGGCTTCATACAGAACTTCCGCTAACCCCTGGATCAAGTGAGGCCCCTGCTGATAGGCCCTTTGCGCAGTGATCTTTCCCCCTGAAACACCTGTCACAGCTGTAATTATGTCATTAATTCTGAAATACATATTTAATACTGCATTCTACCTGAGGGAGGAGGTCACTTTCTCTATTTCAGTACTGTGTAATTTTACAACCTTTTTTTGATGGCCATGCGGCCACATGCACAGCTAAGACCTTAAGATAATTACCATAAGATTTTGTGTTCCTAAAGTATATTCTAGACACCAGACACTATGTTAACTTCAGTCCAGTAAATCTATCCCCATTCTAAAGGACAAAATGAGGCCTGCCCACATTTATTTATAAAGGTATTCTTCATCACAGAATCATTTATAATAATGAAGAAATATAAATTACCAAAATGCCCAGCACCTGAGGACTAGTTAAATAGTTTGTGGACACAGCTGTGCTATGGAATATGGTACAGGCATTTAAAAAGACGGTGAGAGCAATTTCTTAAGGACAATAAAAAGTTCCAGAGCTGTATCCATGTCATCACATAACACTTGCAGGTAAAAGCATGATTATTTGTGAAATTATCCATTTGTCATCTCCCTTCTTCCTCCCACAGCGTTGGTGACACTCCAAGAAATCAAACCCTTTGTTTCTATTCTCTGAAGAATCAATTATCTCATTTACTTGGAAGGAGACGGAGCAAACGTGATCTAGCTAGCAGGGGCAGTGTGAAGTTGCATGTATGCCAGCGAGATGCTGGCTGTGTGCACGAAAGGGCAAGCAGGGTATAATGTGCAGTGGGGCTAGCCTGGGGGTAGGGGTGTGCAGGGTGAGAGAGGCTGTGCACCCGCCAGCATCTGCACCAAGGGCAGCCAAGCCTACACGTGAGGTGGAGAAGCCTGAGACTTACCCTCAGTGGTTGCCGAGGTTGGCTGCCACCAACCTAGAAAGACAAGGAAGTGATTTTAGGATTTTACTGGAAATGTTTAAATCCAATGGCCTGCCATTAAAAGAAGAAGTGAAATCCTCTTCCTTGTTGCAGGATGTCTCGGAGCCTTGACCACTCACTCCACTGCCCACTGGATGGCCAAGAAGAGCCACACACCAGCACTGCCCAACATATCTGGCACTGAACATTGCCATTATGACACAAAGGGCACTTTGGGGGCTGTGCTCTCCACGTGAATGAATTCTTTCATTCGGATGAGCATGCATCAGGGTTTTACTTGGCTGTGTTTTTGAAATGGTCACGACTTTCCACAGGCTGACTAGGACAGTGAATGGCACCTGGAAGGACCAGAGGGCCAAAACCTCTTCCACCGCCCCTCTCTCCCAATGAGCACAGGCGGCCAGTGATGGCAGGGATCCGAGGGACTCTCCAGGCTGAACTCTGTGACAGCCATGGTCCTGGAGACTCAGCTGGTCATTGTGACAAAGCCCAGAGTCCTCAGAGGGAAATCACTCCCTGTAAGGAGCCTGTTCTTTTCCTGCTTCTGAAAACACAAGAGGGTGGAGGTCCAGAGAAGAAGGCTGGGCTGTAGTGACTCACCTGGGGTAGTCTGATTGCTTTGTGAAGCTGCAAGAAAGAGAAGGAAACTCGGTCAGTCTCACTGCCCAGGATGTGTTGGAACATGCCCTCAGGATCCCAAGACACAGGTGCTGATGCCTGAGGCCTGTGCCCTTCATGACACTAAGGAATGCTTCCGCAGGCTCTCAAGGAGAGCTGAGTCGTAAAGGTAAACCTTAGGGGTTCATCTCCCCCAAAACAGTTGTTGGGGAAATTTGTACATTAAACCCTTGTCTGCTCCAGGGGTCCATCTAGGGATCACGCTGTAGCCACCCATAAAATCAAGGTCATCTATTGATGAGGTTCTCAGGGAAACTGCCCGTCTACCAGGGAAATCCAGGGTGGGCAGCCCAGTGCAAAGAAGAACACGTGCTTGAAGGGAACCGTATGAAAACAGAAACCCAAGAAGTGTAAAAGAATACACCTCCACCAAACCAGCTCTGCAAGAGATACCAAAGGGACTGCTCTAAGGAAAGGAAGGAAAAGAGAGAGAGAGAGGAACACAGGCACGCAAATGCAATGAATAAGTACCTATCAATAATAACCTCAAATGTAAATGGAGTAAATGCTCCAATCAAAAGACATAGAATAGCTGAATGGATAAGAAAGCATGACCCACACATATGCTGCTACTAGAGACCCACCTCAGGATAAAAGACCTATACAGGCTGAAAGTGAAGGGTTGGAAACAAATTTTCCAAGCAAACGGACAGGAAAAAAAGCTGGGGTAGCAATACTCATATCAGACAAAATAGACTTCAAAAAAAGGGCCATAAAGAGACACCCAGAAGGCCACTTCATAATACTCAAGGGAAGAATCCACCAAGAAGACATAAACATTGTAAACATATATTGCACCCAACACAGGAGCACCCAAATACATAAAGAAAGTCTTAGAGGACTTCAATAAAGATATTGACAGCAACACAATTATAGTGGGGGATTTTAACACCCCACTGTCAAAAATGGACAGCTCTTCCAAACAAAATATCAACAAAGATATTGTGGCATTGAACAATTCCCTAGAGGAAATGGACTTAAATGATATGTAGAGAGAGCCCTACACCCCGAAGAAGCTAAATACACATTCTTTTCAAATGCACATGGAACAGTTTCAAAGATAGACCACATGATAGGACAAAAAACAAGCTCAACAAATTCAAGAAAGTTGAAATCATACCAAACATTTTCTCTGATCACAAGGGACTGAAACTAGAAACCAACCCCAAGGAAAAAATCCAAAACACTCAAAATCATGGAGATTAAATGGCATGCTATTAAACAATGAATGGGTCAAGAATGAAATTAGGGAAGAAATCAAGAAGTTTCTGGAAACAAATGAAAATGAACTCACAACAACATAAAAACTCTGGGACACAGCAAAGGCAGTTCTGAGAGGGAAGTTTATAGCGATACAGGCCTACCTAAAAAAGATAGAAACATTTCAAACAAACAACCTAACCCTACATCTACAAGAACTCGAGGAACAACAACACAGACAGCCTTGAGCAAGTAGAAGGCAGGAAACAACCAAGATCAGAGCAGAATTAAATGACATAGAGACTAAAAGCACAATTCTAAGGATCAATGAATCCAGGAGCTAGTTCACTGAAAAGATAAACAAAATTGACAAGCCTTTAAGCAGACTCATCAAGAAAAAAAGAGAGAAGACCCAAATAAACAGAATCAGAAATGAAAGAGAAGAGATTACAACTGATACCACAGAAACACAAAGGACTGTAAGAAATTACTACAAAGAACTGTATGCCTAGAAATTTGAAAACCTAGGTGAAATGGACAAATTTCTAGAAAAATATAATCTTCCGAAACTCAATTAAAAAGAAGCAGAAAGCCTGAACAGACCAATAACAGCAAATGAAATTGAAGCAGTAATCAAAAAACTCCTGACACACAAAAGCCTGGGACTAGATGGTTTCACAGGAGAATTCTACAAAGCATTTAAGGAAGAGCTAACCCCTATCCTTCACAGACTTTTCCAAAAAAAACAAAAAGATGGAAGGACTCCCAAACTCTTTTTATAAGGCCAGCATCATCTTAATCCCCAAACCAAATAAAGACACAACGAAGAAAGAAAACTTCAGGCCAATCGCTAAAATCCTCAACAAAATATTGGCAAACCACATCCAATAATACATTAAAAAGATCATACACCATGACCAAGTGGGATTCATCCCAGGGATGCAAGAATGGTACAATATTCACAAATCAGTAAATGTAATACACCACATAAACAAAAGCAATCACATGATCATATCAATAGAGGCAGGAGAAGCATTTGATAAGGTGCAGCACCCATTTATGATAAAAACACTCAGCAAAGTGGGAATAGAGGGAGCATTCCTCAACATAATAAAGGCCACATATGAAAGACCTACAGCCAACATCATACTCAATGGGCAAAAACTAAAATCTTTTCCACTAAGATCAGGAACAAGACAAGGCTGTCCACTTTCACCACTTCTATTCAATATAGTACTGGAAGTTTTAGTCATAGCGATCAGACAAGAAAAAGAAATAAAAGGCATCCAAATCGGAAAGGAGGAAACAAAACTGTCATTGTTTGCAGATGACATGATATTGTACATAGAGAATCCTATAGACTCAGCCAAAAAACTGCTCTACCTAATAAATGAATTTGGCAAAACAGCAGAATACAAAGTCAATATCCAAAAATCAAAGGCATTTCCATATACAAACAATGAAACAGCAGAAGCAGACATCAAGAAAAAAATCCCATTTGATATAGCAAAAAAAAAAAAAAATACCTAGGAATAAACCTAACCAAAGAGGTAAAAGACCTGTATTCAGAAAACTACATAACACTGAAGAAAGAAATCAAAGAAGACACAAACAAATGGAAACATATATCGTGTTCATGGATTGGAAGAATTAACATCATCAAAATGTCCATTCTACCCAAAGCAATTTACACATTCAATGCAATACCTATTAAAGTACCAATGGCTTATTTCACAGACATAGAACAAACACTTCAAAAATTTATATGGAACCATAAATGACCCTGAATAGCTGCTGCAATTTAGAAAAAGAAGAGTAAAGTAGAAGGGACGACAATACCTGATACTAAACTATATTACAAGGCCACTGTAATCAAAACAGCCTGGTACTGGCGTAAAAACAGGTACATGGAACAATGGAACAGAACAGAGAGCCCAGAAATAAACCCAACTCTTTATGTCAATTAATATTTGACAAAAGAGGCAGCAACATAAAATGGAGTAAAAATATCCTCTTCAACAAATGGTGTTGGGAGAACTGGACAGCTACGTGCAAAAAAAAATGAAACTCGAACACCAACTTACACCTTACACAAAAATAAATTCAAGGTGGATAAAACTTAAATATAAACTGTGACACCATTAAAGTCCTAGAGGAGAACGTAGGTAGGAAAATCTCAGATATTTCACGCAGAAACTTTTTTACTGACATGTCCCCTAGAGCAAGGGACATAAAGGAAAGAATAAACAAATGGGATCTCATCAAAATAAAAAGCTTCTGCATGGCTAAAGAAAACATTATTAAAATAAAAAGAGAACCGACTGAATGGGAAAACATATTTGCCAATGATACCTGAGACAAGGGTTTAATCTCCAAAATATATAAAGAACTTACACGACTCCACTCTAAGAAGACAAGCAGCCCAATTAAAAAATGGGCAAGGGACTTGAACAAACAATTCTCCAAGGAGGACATACAGAGGATCCAGAGACACATGAAAAGATGTTCAATATTGCTAGCTCTCAGAAAGATGCAAATTAAAACCACAATGAGATACCACTTTACACTGGTCAGAATGGCCATCTTAAACAAAGCAACAAACAACAAGTGTTGGAGAGGTTGTGGAAAAAAGGGGACCCTAGTGCACTGTTGGTGGGACTGCAGACTGGTACAGCCACTATGGAAAGTAGTATGGAACTTCCTCAGAAAACTAAAAATGGATCTGCCTTTTGACCCAGAAATTCCACTGCTGAAACTATATCCTAAGAACCCTGAAACACCAATCCAAAAGAACCTATGCATCCCAATGTTCATAGCAGCACAATTTACAATAGCCAAGTGCTGGAAGCAACCTAGATGCCCATCAGTAAATGAATGGATCAAAAAACTGGTACATTTACACAATGGAATTATATGCAGCAGAAAGAAAGAAAGAAGGAGCTCCTACCCTTTGTGATAGCATGGATGGAGCTGGAGAGCATTATGCTGAGCGAAATAAGCCAGACAGTGAAAGACAAATACCATATGATCTCACCTTTAACAGGAACCTAAGCAACAAAACAAAGAATCAAGCAAAATATAGTCAAAGACACTGAAATAGAGGACAGGCTGACAGTGACCAGAGGGGAGAGGGGAGGGAAATTCAGGGGAGAATGGGAAGGGTTTACAGGAACAAGTATAAAGGACACTTGGACAAAAACTAGGGGGGGGTTGAAATGGGAGGTAGATGGAGAGGGACGGGTGGGTGGGATGGAATGGGAGTAAAGGACAGAAAAATGTACTTGAACAATGATTAAAATAAAATTAAAAAAAAAAAACAGAAACCCAATGTCTGGGAGGCCCACCTGAGCAGATGACACCTGCATCCTCGTAATGTCCACAGTTGTGTACGTTCCAGCCATTGTGGGGACAATTCCACAGGTAGGACTCGTGCCCTGAGCAGCGCACATTGTCAAGGACAATAGGCCCCGAGCCCTGACCGAACTGGGCATTTCCAGGGGCCCATGTGGCCCAGCCACAGCCCAGCTGCCTGCACACCACGTTGGCATCGTTGAGGTCCCAGTCGTCGTCACACACGGTCCCCCAGGAGCCTTGGTAGAGAACCTCCACCCGACCTTGACACTGATCACTTCCATTCACCAGCCTCAGGGCCAAACTGGAACTGGGTCCTAGAAGGAGACATAAACATTCACATTCTCCTGTATCTCCTGAAGGAAGAGGTTCTATGGTGTGGGTGAGGTTCAGAAGTCTTTCGTGGCCAAGACTTTGGGTTCAGGTTTTTGTCTTTCAGTACTAGGACTTGACCGAAACCTGTGTGTCACCCTTTATCCTCAAGGGGCTTTTTTATGGAACCTTCAGTGTGAGCTGAGACACATGTTCTCTGATTGGGCTCCACAGTGCCCAGCAATTCAATGGCTGAACCCGGCCTTGGGATGCAAGGGGAGAAGCAGGGAAGCCAGCAGCTGCCCTAGCAGTGACCACTGGGATCAATCTGGGCACCTGCCTCAGGAAACCACCAGTGACAGCTTCCCAGCTGTTACTGCCGTAGGACCTCACTTTGGAGACTCCATCTTCAGATGACCCATCCTGCACAAGGGGACACCATTCTGCTGGGGTTGAGGATAGTTCTGGAGGCTCGTTCTCCACTAAGCACCCAAAACTTGCCCTGATACTTATCGCAGTAGAAACCCTCCTTCCTATTAAACAGAAGAAACAACAACCCACACCACTCCCCATGAGGTTCAAGGAAGACCTAGTGCCACATCCTCCCCCTCTCCCCTGGGGAAGTGGAAGGTGGGCATGAGACCCTATTTGGCCATCAGCATGAATGGAAATACTTTGTGACAAGGCACCTAGTGTCAAGCAAGCTGCTCAGAGTCCTCCTAGGACTTGGCAGCTGAGTTACAAACAAAATCTATCGCTTGGTGGGATGTACAGTTGGGGCTGGCAAATGCCCATCATGTGTAGTAAGCAAGCTGGTAGTGAAGGCCATGCACATAAGAAGGTAGAGGTAAGGAAAGTACATGGGACAACCGTGGAACTTCTGGATCCAGCTATACCTGAAGCTAGAGTTACCACTAAATGTCCTAGATATCTGAGCCATGGAGTTCCTTTCTAGCTCCAGGGAGTTTGAGCTGGGTTCCTGTCACTTGCAAACCAAAACACCTTGCTAATATATCCCATACTCTGTTAGGTAGAAGGTAGAGGGACCCCACCACATTGGATGAGGTGATTAGTGGGCAAGTGTTTTAACCCAAGATTTGAGCACGTTGACTACAGTGCTGAGTGCGAGGCTTTGGCCAGGTCCAAATGATGCTCACCGTAGGAAGGACTCGTGTACCACCAATCTGGAGAGGAAACAAAACAGGTTTAGGAAGAAAGGCGTAGAATCAAGGTTGAGTCTAGTGATCTGGGGTCAGGGACAGTGGGGGTGGGGAAGCTCTGTGGATTGGAGAGAAGGTGGCCTTTTCTGATAGCTTGCACTGAGCCAAAACCATGGCCTTGAATGGCCTTCACAATGGTAACCAAGTGGTACAATCTATAAGAGCAATTCCCAACAAAGCTTTCCCGACATAGTGCTCTCTGGTGAAAGCATCATTGGAAGCTCTGTAGAGAGTCTCTGCCATCAAAGAGCTATGTTCTCTCATCACACATAACATTTGGCCCAGACACAGCTTTCAAGCAGAAATGACACCAGGGCACAGCCTCCTCTGTCACCAGCTATGGGTACCCACTGCAGCCCAAATGCACTCATCCCGCTGAGCCAGACTGGTGGATCAGTGTGTCATGGGCTCCACTAACCCTATTTAACACTCTGGAGTATCAGGGAAAGGACTGGAAGGCAGAAAGCTCCACAGGCCCCTCCTGGAGCTACTGGTGGGGGGCTGCTCAGGGGGTTAGCAAGACAGCGGTCAGGGCCAGAGGGACTCACCTGGTGTGACTGTGGACTGGTACCCGGCAGCTGTGAGGGAGAGAGGGTCAGATCAGACATGTGGCACAGAAGGTGGCACAGCAGGAAGAAACTGAGAAGATCAAAGGCTCAGGCATACCTGTCCCCTGCCACAGGGGCTGGGGAGAGATGGGGCTTTTGCCCTCTGACCCTGGAAGGATACCCTGGTCAGAAAGCAGGAACAGCCTGTGCAATCATGTCCGATGTCAGGGGGATTCACTCTGTGTACAGACCGAGTAACTGAGTGAACACAAGCAAAATGTCCACCAAGCAACTAGTAGCAGTTCACTGACAGGGAAGAGTGAGTCTAGCTCAGGGATGCACACAACAGGCAATGTTTCAGGCCCGACCTAGGCAACAAATTCCAAGACGTATCCTGCCACCCCTTGCAGGGGTCACTGCCCTTGGCAATGCACACCTGGTATACACAGAAAGCATCGACATTCCCTGAGGAAACTTATACTCAAGGACCCGTGAAACACAAGCCTACACCAGTCACAAAAAGATTACTGAAATACTAGCCCATATGCCCCATTTCCAGACTATTTCCAGACTATTGATACCTCATGTCATTTTGTGACAAGACCAGCTAGAGAAAAAAGGATTGATTCACATTTTCAGGGTGGACAATAATTCAGCTCTCCATACATGACACCATGACAGAGATTACTACGCACCTAGTAGCAGGGCTAAGGAAGACGTAATGACAGGAGGAAGCCCTCTAACTTTGGCAAAAGAGACATAAGAACAAAGGTCAAAGAAAATTCCACACTAAGATAAAAACCCAAAATGTGTCAGGCTCACCTGAGCAGATGACGCCAGCGTCCTCCCCATGGTTGCAGTTGTGCGAGTTCCAGCCTCGGTGCGGGCAGCTCCACAGGTAGGACTCGTACCCTGAGCAGCGCACGTCGTCCAGGAGAATGGGCCCCGAGCCCTGACCGAACCGGGCACTTCCTGGAGCAGATGTGGCCCAGCCACAGCCCAGCTGCCTGCACACCACGTTGGCATCATTGAGGTCCCAGTCGTCGTCACACACGGTCCCCCAGGAGCCTCGGTAGAGAACCTCCACCCGGCCCTGACACCGGTCACCGCCGTTCACCAGCCTCAGGTCCAAACCGCCTTCTGTCCCATTCCCTAGGGAAGGCCCAGGAACACTTCCTCCGTCACTCTGTTGAGCCAGCAGGCCTGAGGCAGGTCTCAGACCCCTGGGACACCCTCGTGGCCCACCGACCCAGGGACATAGTCGGCTTTGGACACGTGCACAGGTTCCCCTTCACCACAGGAAAGGGGCACAGACAGCCCATCTCAGGTACAGGTTTCCACGCCCTCAGCACCAGGGAAAGGCTGCGCCCAGGGTACGGGAACCTCCTTGAGGGCACCGAGGGAGGTGACAAGACTGCCTCCAGGACCCCACATGGGGCCTCCTGAGCAGAGCTCCATGGATCTGGGGGCTGTTCTCCATGGTCAGCACCCTCGGGCTCCCCAACACTCCTGGGGAACCACAGGCAGAGGCCCAGGAATGATGGAAAGGGTTCCTGATGGGGGGCACCCCTGCACTTTCACCCCCTCTTCTCCGGACAGCAGCTGGAGGTCTGAGCTCCCAGCCCTGTCTCAGAGGGACTGCCTAGCCCGGCCTAGAACATGCACACCCATTCATGGAAGGGGGTCTCTGCTGCGACTCTGTCCCAGATCTCGCTAGAGATGGGATCCCCTGCCACTATGCCACATCAAAAACCTTTCCACACATGCTTTTCCTTCGCAGCCCCTCCACAGAGACAAAGACATCAGCTGCCCACGTGCAACCTCTCTCCATCACGTTCCTTCCCACCCTTGAATAAGCAGCAGAGGCAGGGCCCCTGGGGCAGGGGGTGGCAGGAATAGATACCTGAGTCTGTGCCTCCTGGAGCTGAGGCCGGGGCAGTGTTTGGCCATGTGCCTACAAATGACAACAGAGGGAAAGGTCAGAGTTAGGGCTCACCAATACCGACCCTTTTCAAGATTTGTGGGGGCACCAGGACAATTGCCCATGTACATCCTGCCGCTTCCTACCTTAATGTGCACAAGCCTATTTGCCAGCAAGGTTAGTGGCGTCCAAGGCCCTGTCGGAAACCCCACTGATTCCTCTAAATCCCGAAGCCTGCCGTGTTCTCTTAGCAACTGAAAATGCTTTGCCCTCTCCCAGCCCTGAGTCTTGTGCTCATTGATAGTTCTCAGAGGCGGACCTCAATCTAGACCTTGGATCCCAAGCATCGGACACATGCACTTATAAGCAGGAGCCAAACAAGTGTCCAACTACATGGCAAGTCATCGTCCCGTAGTTCTCCACCACCCCGTGGACACCGGGCCTGCCCCATCATGAGGGACGTGTGAGCACGCGCAACCCCGGTGTGTGGAAGGTGTGAAGACAGGAGACAAGACCGAAGTCTGATGTGCCGTCAGCAGGCCCCCAGTGGTCTGGACGGTCCAGGCCCCACAAAAAGTGCATCAGCCGGGAAGTGACAGGGTCAGCGTCACGCCACTGGAGGCCATGCCTCTGAACACTGGCGGCCACCTTTAGGGACAGCAACCAGGTGTTCGGGGAGAACGCAAATGCATCAAAAATACACGCAGTCCTGGAAAGGCCACGAATCCTGCCGCAGCACTGAGGGCACGTCAGTGATGGAGGACAGAGAGAGGCTGTGAGCCTGGCCATGGTCACAGGGCAGGGGTTCTCCCGGAGTGAAGAGGAGAGGCGTGGAGGTACAGAAAGAGAAGGCCTAAATGAGGAGGTCGCTGACAACTCACCTGGCCACGGTGTTGAAAGGGACTCAGCGGCTGTGAAGAAGACAAGGAAAATGTCAGACTCAGAACACGTAATTGGCCCACCCAGATGCAGGGTTTGTGAACTTCTTCTTGCACCCGCTGAGCAGAGGCCTCTCACACGTGCCCCGGCTGAGGAAACTACAGCTATCTGCCCAAAACTCTCTGACTTTCCCACCAGCCGCCTCACTGTGCCCGAGGAATGACCTTTCTGTTTCTCAGAGCCAGTATCAGGGCTGAAGCAGGCCACCATAGCCTTGGGACACCCAGGAAATTAGCAGAGGAGGACCCTAAGGACTGGGTTAGTGGAGAGGCCAATTCCCTCGTCTCGAGATATGATGATGGTGGCCCTCTATAACAATGTCCAATCTTTCTCCTTGCATTGTGTTACCGTCCCCAAGGCCTTCCCTAGCTGACCGCAATGGTTCTGTAGCCTCCTGATTTCTCACACCTCACCCCACCCTCTGCCACCTGTTCTGTTGCCCACAAGAAGCTCTGTGCTGGCGTGTTTTTTCCTCCGCATCACATTCTGGGCAGAGACCCAAGCACTGTGCTAACCAGAGAACAGGGTGCTTGCTACCGACCCTCACCTCGGACATAGAGCTCTGTCTAAGAGCTTTGCCCCAGGAGGACCGGACTCGAGACGTGAGATCGTGTTACGGAGGAAGGAGGAAAAGGCTCCCTGCTCTCCCATCAGAAAGCTGGACCCTGAGCAAGAACTCGGTGCCACAGTCCCCTGCAACAACCTGAGGGCAATCCCCAGCCAATGCCGGGGTCCCATTTGGACCAAGGTCCTTTCTCACTCAGGGCAGGTGACATAACCTCTTGGGTGCCTGCAGCCCTGAGGCTCTGAGGCTCAGGCAGGGGCCCTGGAGTGGGAATCTCATCAGCTCTGAGCCATATCACCTGATCAAAAGATGACCCACCCTGTGTGAGGCCCACCTGAGCAGATCACACCAGCGTCCTCCCCGTGGTTGCAGTTGTGCGAGTTCCAGCCTCGGTGCGGGCAGCTCCACAGGTAGGACTCGTACCCCTGAGCAGCGCACATCATCCAGGACAATGGGACCCGAGCCCTGACCGAACCGGGCACTTCCCGGAGCTGACGTGGCCCAGCCACAGCCCAGCTGCCTGCACACCACGTTGGCATCATTGAGGTCCCAGTCGTCGTCACACACGGTCCCCCAGGAGCCTCGGTAGAGAACCTCCACCCGGCCCTGACACCGGTCACCGCCGTTCACCAGCCTCAGGTCCAAAGCGCCTTCTGTCCCAAACCCTAGGGAAGGCAAAAGAACACCTCCTTCTTCACTCTCTGCAGCCAGCAGGCCTGAGGCAGATCCCAGACCCTTGGGACACCCTCAATGCATAACGACCCAGGGACACAGTCAGCTTTGGACACATGCACAGAATCACCTTCAGCACAAGAAAGGAGCAGACAGCATATTATGCCAGGGAAAGAATCCTCCCATGTACACAGGCCTCCCAGAGGGCACTGAGGCTGTGACAGGGCTACCTACAGGACCCCACCGGGGGCCTCCCGAGCAGAGCTCCACGGTTCGGGAGGCTGCTCTCCATGGTCAGCACCCTCAGGTTTCCCATCACTCCCATGTGACCACAGGCACAGCCCCAGGAGTGATGGGGACGTGTTCCTGTCGGGGGGTGCTCCTGCACTTTCACCACCTCTGCTCGGGGCAGCAACGGGAGGCTTGAGTTGACACCCCCTGTGTCAGCGGGACACACCAGGTAGGCCACAGCACGCACACTCATTCATGGAAGTGGGTCTCTGCTATGCCCCGACCCGGGATCTCGCGAGAGGTCGGATTCTATGCCTCTATGTCACTTGTGAAAGCTATCCACACACATTATTTCTTTGCTAGCCCCTCCATAGAGACAAAGAGATCAGCCACCCACCTGCAACCTCTTTCCATCACAGTCCACCCCACCCTTGAACCAGGAGCAGAGGCAGAGCCCCTGGGGCAGGGGTGACAGGATATGTACCTGAGTCTGTGCTTCCTGGTGTCCAGGGCATGGAAGTTCTTGGCCATGTGTCTACAAGTGACAACAGAGGGAAAGGTCACAGTTAGGAGTCACCAATACTGACCCTTCCCAAATTTTGTGGGGGCATAGGACAATTCCCCATGTGTAGACTGCCGCTTCCTAACTTCATGTGCTCAGGACTATTTTTCAGCATGATTTCTGGGGTCCAAGGTCCTCTTAGATATCCCGCAAATTCCCCTGAATCCCTAAACCTGCCCTCTTCTCTTGTAAACTGAAAAAGCTTTGCCCTCTCCCAGCCCTGAGTCATGTGCTCATTGGTAGTTTTCAGGGGTGAACCTGGCTGTATAGTTTGGATCCCAAGGGTGAGAAACATAGTTTTATAAGCAAGAGCCAAACAAGTATCCAACTACATGGCAAATCATTGTCCCATAGTTCTCCACCACCCCATGGGACTGTGCCTGCCCCATAGGGAGGCAGGTGTGACCATGCTGAATGCCAGTATGTTGAAGGTATGAAGTCAGGAGACACGACCAAATTCTAATGTGCCATCAGCAGGCCCCCAGTGGTCTGGACGGTCTAGTACCCACAAAAAGTGCATCAGCCGAGATCTGACAGGGTCAACATCACACCACTGGAGGCCATGTCTCTGAACACTGGCGGCCATCTTTAGGGACAGCAACTAAGTGTTTGGAGAGAATACAAATGCATGAAAACACACACTGTCCTGCAAATGCCACCAATCCTGATGTAGCACTGTAGGGACCTCAGTGACGGAGACAAAGACCTGTGCACATGGGCATGTTCACAGGGCACTGGTGGGCCCTCAGAGTGGAGTACAGGCGTAGAGGTACAGAAAGAGAAGACCGAAATGAGGAGGTTGTTGACAACTCACCAGGCCATGCCGTCGAATGGGACTGAGCGGCTGTGAACACGAGGAGGAAAATGTTAGACGTGGAACACACATTTGTCCCACCCAGACCTGGAGTTTGTGAACCTCTTCTTGCACCCGCTGAGTAGACAGATGCCCCACACGTGCCCAGGCTGAGGACACTACAGCTAGCTGCCCAAAATTCTCTGCCTATGCCATCGCCTGCCACACTCTGCCCGAGGAATGACCTTTTGTTTGTCAGAGTCAGTGTCAGGGCTGAAGCAGGCCACCATATCCTTGGCCAACACCCTAGGAATTAACAGAGGAGGACCCTAAGGACTGGGTTACTGTAGAAGCCAATTGTCCTGCGTGGGGATGTGATGGCGGCGTCCATCTAGAGCAACTTTCAGTCTCTCTCCTTGCATCGTGCCACCAGCCCCACGACCCTCCCTGGCTCACCTGAGTCTATTCCTTGGCTTCCTGCTGTCTCACACCTCACCCCACCCCCAGCTCCCCACTCTGTAGTTCACATGAAGCTCTGAGCTCCCAGGTCTGCTCCTCAGCATCACATTCTGGCAGAGCCCCAAGCACTGTGTTCATCACGGAACAGGGCCTGCTACCCACATCCACGTCTGACAAAGAGCTCTGACTAAGCCCTTCGCCCCAGGAGAATCGGATGTGGGACATGAGCTCAGGGTACAGAGGCAGAACCAAAAGCCTCCCGACTCTGCCATCAGGGAGGTGGACCCTGAGCAAGAACTTGGTGCCACAGTCCCATGCGAAAACCTGAGGGCAATCCCCAGAGAATGCCGGGGTCCCATTCAGACCAAGGTCCTTTCTCACTCAGGGCAGGTGACATAACCTCTTGGGTGCCTGCTGCCCTAAAATAAGGTCCAGGAACAGGGAGGATACTCCAAGGCTCAGGCAGGGGCTCCGGACTGGGAATCTCAACAGCTATGAGCAATATCACCCAAGGAAAGGGAGACCCACCCCGAGTAAGACCCACCTGAGCAGATCACACCAGCGTCCTCCCCGTGGTTGCAGTTGTGCGAGTTCCAGCCTCGGTGAGGGCAACTCCACAGGTAGGACTCGTACCCTGAGCAGCGCACGTCGTCCAGGACAATGGGCCCCGAGCCCTGACCGAACCGGGCACTTCCCGGAGCTGACGTGGCCCAGCCACAGCCCAGCTGCCTGCACACCACGTTGGCATCATTGAGGTCCCAGTCGTCGTCACACACGGTCCCCCAGGAGCCTCGGTAGAGAACCTCCACCCGGCCTTGACACCGTTCACCGCCGTTCACCAGCCTCAGGTCCAAAGCGCCTTCTGTCCCGAACCCTAGGGAAGGCACAAGAACACCTCCTCCATCACTCTCTGGAGCCACCAGGCCTGAGACAGGTTCCAGACCCTTGGGACACCCTCAATACATAACGACCCAGGGACACAGTCAGCTTTGGACACATGCACAGAATCACCTTCAGCACAGGAAAGGTACAGATAGCCTATTATGCCAGGGAAAGAATCCTCCCATGTACACAGGCCTCCAGGAGTGCACTGAGGCTGTGACAGGGCTACCTACAGGACCCCACCGGGGCTACCCGAGCAGAGCTGCACGGTTCTGGGGGCTGTTCTCCATGGTTGGCACCCTCAGGTTTCCCATCACTGACCACAGGCACAGCCCCAGGAGTGATGGGACGTGTTCCTGTCGGGGGGTGCTCCTGCACTTTCACCACCTCTTCTCGGGGCAGCAACGGGAGGCTTGAGTTGACACCCCCTGTGTCAGCGGGACACACCAGGTAGGCCACAGCATGCACACTCATTCATGGAAGTGGGTCTCTGCTATGTCCCCAACCGGGATCTTGCTAGAGGTCGGATTCTGTGCCACTAGGTCACTTGTGAAAGCTATCCACACACACTATTTCTTTGCTAGCCCCTCCATTGAGACAAAGAGATCAGCCACCCACATGCAACCTCTTTCCATCACAGTCCATCCCACCCTTGAATCACGAGCAGAGGCAGAGCCCCTGGGGCAGGGGTGACAGGAATAGATACCTGAGTCTGTGCTTCCTGGTGCCCAGGGTGTGGCAGTGCTTGGCCATGTGTCTACAAGTGACAACAGAGGGAAAGGTCACAGTTAGGGCTCACTAATACTGACCCTTTCAAAATTGTGTGGGGGCATAGGACAATTCCACATGTGTAGAATGCCCCTGCCTAACTTCATGTACTCAGGGCTATTTTTCAGCATTGCTTCTGGGGTCCGAGGCCCTCTTAGAATTCCCCCTGATTCCTCTAAATCCCTAAGCCTGCCCTGTTCTCGTGTAAACTGAAAAAGCTTTGCCCTCTCCCAGCCCTGAGTCTTGTGCTCATTGGTAGTTCTCAGGGGGCCAACCTGGCTCTATAGTTTGGATCCCAGGGGTCAGAGACATACATTTATAAGCAAGAGCCAAACAAGTGTCCAAGTACATGGCAAATCAGGGTCCCATAATTCTCCAGCACCCCATGGGAGTGTGCCTGCCTCATAGGGAGGCAGGTGTGACCCTGCTGAATGCCAGTGTGTTGAAGGTATGAAGTCAGGAGAGAAGACCAAAGTCTAATGTGCCCACAGGAGGACCCCCAGTGGTCTGGATGGTCCAGTGCCCACAAAAAGTGCATCAGCCGGGATGTGACAGGGTCAATGTCACACCACTGGAGGCCATGTCTCTGAACACTGGAGGCCATCTTTAGGGACAGCAACCAAGTGTTCAGAGAGAATACGAATGCATCGAAAATACACACAGTCCTGCAAATGCCACCAATCCTGCTGTAGCACTGCAGGGATCTAGGTGATGGATCACAGAGAGAGGCTGTGCACTTGGGCATGTTGACAGGGCACTGGTTGGCCCACAGAGTGGAGGAGAGACGTGGATTTGCAGAAAGAGAAGACCTAAATGAGGAAGGTTGCTGACAACTCACCAGGCCATGCCGTCGAATGGGACTGAGCGGCTGTGAACACGGGAAGGAAGATATTAGACGCAGAACGCACAATTCGCCCACCCAGACCTGGGGTTCGTGAACCTCTTCTTGCACCCGCTGAGCAGATGCCCCACCTGTGCCCTGGTTATGGACACTACCACTACCTGCCCGAAACTCTCTGTCTTTCCCACTCCCTGCCTCACTTGCCTGAGGAATGACCTTTCTGTTTCTCAGAGCCAGTGTCAGGGCTGAAGCAGGCCACCATAGCCTTGGGACACCCAGGGAATTAGCAGAGGAGGGCGTTAAGGACTGGGTTAGTGCAGAGGCCAATTACCTCATCTCACAACGTGATGAAGGCGGCCCTCTATAACAATGTCCAATCTTTCTCCTTGCATTGTGTTACCGTCCCCAAGGCCTTCCCTAGCTGACCGCAATGGTTCTGTAGCCTCCTGATTTCTCACACCTCACCCCACCCTCTGCCACCTGTTCTGTTGCCCACAAGAAGCTCTGTGCTGGCGTGTTTTTTCCTCCGCATCACATTCTGGGCAGAGACCCAAGCACTGTGCTAACCAGAGAACAGGGTGCTTGCTACCGACCCTCACCTCGGACATAGAGCTCTGTCTAAGAGCTTTGCCCCAGGAGGACCGGACTCGAGACGTGAGATCGTGTTACGGAGGAAGGAGGAAAAGGCTCCCTGCTCTCCCATCAGAAAGCTGGACCCTGAGCAAGAACTCGGTGCCACAGTCCCCTGCAACAACCTGAGGGCAATCCCCAGCCAATGCCGGGGTCCCATTTGGACCAAGGTCCTTTCTCACTCAGGGCAGGTGACATAACCTCTTGGGTGCCTGCAGCCCTGAGGCTCTGAGGCTCAGGCAGGGGCCCTGGAGTGGGAATCTCATCAGCTCTGAGCCATATCACCTGATCAAAAGATGACCCACCCTGTGTGAGGCCCACCTGAGCAGATCACACCAGCGTCCTCCCCGTGGTTGCAGTTGTGCGAGTTCCAGCCTCGGTGCGGGCAGCTCCACAGGTAGGACTCGTACCCTGAGCAGCGCACATCATCCAGGACAATGGGACCCGAGCCCTGACCGAACCGGGCACTTCCCGGAGCTGACGTGGCCCAGCCACAGCCCAGCTGCCTGCACACCACGTTGGCATCATTGAGGTCCCAGTCGTCGTCACACACGGTCCCCCAGGAGCCTCGGTAGAGAACCTCCACCCGGCCCTGACACCGGTCACCGCCGTTCACCAGCCTCAGGTCCAAAGCGCCTTCTGTCCCAAACCCTAGGGAAGGCAAAAGAACACCTCCTTCTTCACTCTCTGCAGCCAGCAGGCCTGAGGCAGATCCCAGACCCTTGGGACACCCTCAATGCATAACGACCCAGGGACACAGTCAGCTTTGGACACATGCACAGAATCACCTTCAGCACAAGAAAGGAGCAGACAGCATATTATGCCAGGGAAAGAATCCTCCCATGTACACAGGCCTCCCAGAGGGCACTGAGGCTGTGACAGGGCTACCTACAGGACCCCACCGGGGCCTCCCGAGCAGAGCTCCACGGTTCGGGAGGCTGCTCTCCATGGTCAGCACCCTCAGGTTTCCCATCACTCCCATGTGACCACAGGCACAGCCCCAGGAGTGATGGGACGTGTTCCTGTCGGGGGGTGCTCCTGCACTTTCACCACCTCTGCTCGGGGCAGCAACGGGAGGCTTGAGTTGACACCCCTGTGTCAGCGGGACACACCAGGTAGGCCACAGCACGCACACTCATTCATGGAAGTGGGTCTCTGCTATGCCCCGACCCGGGATCTCGCGAGAGGTCGGATTCTATGCCTCTATGTCACTTGTGAAAGCTATCCACACACATTATTTCTTTGCTAGCCCCTCCATAGAGACAAAGAGATCAGCCACCCACCTGCAACCTCTTTCCATCACAGTCCACCCCACCCTTGAACCAGGAGCAGAGGCAGAGCCCCTGGGGCAGGGGTGACAGGATATGTACCTGAGTCTGTGCTTCCTGGTGTCCAGGGCATGGAAGTTCTTGGCCATGTGTCTACAAGTGACAACAGAGGGAAAGGTCACAGTTAGGAGTCACCAATACTGACCCTTCCCAAATTTTGTGGGGGCATAGGACAATTCCCCATGTGTAGACTGCCGCTTCCTAACTTCATGTGCTCAGGACTATTTTTCAGCATGATTTCTGGGGTCCAAGGTCCTCTTAGATATCCCGCAAATTCCCCTGAATCCCTAAACCTGCCCTCTTCTCTTGTAAACTGAAAAAGCTTTGCCCTCTCCCAGCCCTGAGTCATGTGCTCATTGGTAGTTTTCAGGGGTGAACCTGGCTGTATAGTTTGGATCCCAAGGGTGAGAAACATAGTTTTATAAGCAAGAGCCAAACAAGTATCCAACTACATGGCAAATCATTGTCCCATAGTTCTCCACCACCCCATGGGACTGTGCCTGCCCCATAGGGAGGCAGGTGTGACCATGCTGAATGCCAGTATGTTGAAGGTATGAAGTCAGGAGACACGACCAAATTCTAATGTGCCATCAGCAGGCCCCCAGTGGTCTGGACGGTCTAGTACCCACAAAAAGTGCATCAGCCGAGATCTGACAGGGTCAACATCACACCACTGGAGGCCATGTCTCTGAACACTGGCGGCCATCTTTAGGGACAGCAACTAAGTGTTTGGAGAGAATACAAATGCATGAAAACACACACTGTCCTGCAAATGCCACCAATCCTGATGTAGCACTGTAGGGACCTCAGTGACGGAGACAAAGACCTGTGCACATGGGCATGTTCACAGGGCACTGGTGGGCCCTCAGAGTGGAGTACAGGCGTAGAGGTACAGAAAGAGAAGACCGAAATGAGGAGGTTGTTGACAACTCACCAGGCCATGCCGTCGAATGGGACTGAGCGGCTGTGAACACGAGGAGGAAAATGTTAGACGTGGAACACACATTTGTCCCACCCAGACCTGGAGTTTGTGAACCTCTTCTTGCACCCGCTGAGTAGACAGATGCCCCACACGTGCCCAGGCTGAGGACACTACAGCTAGCTGCCCAAAATTCTCTGCCTATGCCATCGCCTGCCACACTCTGCCCGAGGAATGACCTTTTGTTTGTCAGAGTCAGTGTCAGGGCTGAAGCAGGCCACCATATCCTTGGCCAACACCCTAGGAATTAACAGAGGAGGACCCTAAGGACTGGGTTACTGTAGAAGCCAATTGTCCTGCGTGGGGATGTGATGGCGGCGTCCATCTAGAGCAACTTTCAGTCTCTCTCCTTGCATCGTGCCACCAGCCCCACGACCCTCCCTGGCTCACCTGAGTCTATTCCTTGGCTTCCTGCTGTCTCACACCTCACCCCCACCCCCCAGCTCCCCCACTCTGTAGTTCACATGAAGCTCTGAGCTCCCAGGTCTGCTCCTCAGCATCACATTCTGGCAGAGCCCCAAGCACTGTGTTCATCACGGAACAGGGCCTGCTACCCACATCCACGTCTGACAAAGAGCTCTGACTAAGCCCTTCGCCCCAGGAGAATCGGATGTGGGACATGAGCTCAGGGTACAGAGGCAGAACCAAAAGCCTCCCGACTCTGCCATCAGGGAGGTGGACCCTGAGCAAGAACTTGGTGCCACAGTCCCATGCGAAAACCTGAGGGCAATCCCCAGAGAATGCCGGGGTCCCATTCAGACCAAGGTCCTTTCTCACTCAGGGCAGGTGACATAACCTCTTGGGTGCCTGCTGCCCTAAAATAAGGTCCAGGAACAGGGAGGATACTCCAAGGCTCAGGCAGGGGCTCCGGACTGGGAATCTCAACAGCTATGAGCAATATCACCCAAGGAAAGGGAGACCCACCCCCGAGTAAGACCCACCTGAGCAGATCACACCAGCGTCCTCCCCGTGGTTGCAGTTGTGCGAGTTCCAGCCTCGGTGAGGGCAACTCCACAGGTAGGACTCGTACCCTGAGCAGCGCACGTCGTCCAGGACAATGGGCCCCGAGCCCTGACCGAACCGGGCACTTCCCGGAGCTGACGTGGCCCAGCCACAGCCCAGCTGCCTGCACACCACGTTGGCATCATTGAGGTCCCAGTCGTCGTCACACACGGTCCCCCCAGGAGCCTCGGTAGAGAACCTCCACCCGGCCTTGACACCGTTCACCGCCGTTCACCAGCCTCAGGTCCAAAGCGCCTTCTGTCCCGAACCCTAGGGAAGGCACAAGAACACCTCCTCCATCACTCTCTGGAGCCACCAGGCCTGAGACAGGTTCCAGACCCTTGGGACACCCTCAATACATAACGACCCAGGGACACAGTCAGCTTTGGACACATGCACAGAATCACCTTCAGCACAGGAAAGGTACAGATAGCCTATTATGCCAGGGAAAGAATCCTCCCATGTACACAGGCCTCCAGGAGTGCACTGAGGCTGTGACAGGGCTACCTACAGGACCCCACCGGGGCTACCCGAGCAGAGCTGCACGGTTCTGGGGGGCTGTTCTCCATGGTTGGCACCCTCAGGTTTCCCATCACTGACCACAGGCACAGCCCCCAGGAGTGATGGGACGTGTTCCTGTCGGGGGGTGCTCCTGCACTTTCACCACCTCTTCTCGGGGCAGCAACGGGAGGCTTGAGTTGACACCCCTGTGTCAGCGGGACACACCAGGTAGGCCACAGCATGCACACTCATTCATGGAAGTGGGTCTCTGCTATGTCCCCAACCGGGATCTTGCTAGAGGTCGGATTCTGTGCCACTAGGTCACTTGTGAAAGCTATCCACACACACTATTTCTTTGCTAGCCCCTCCATTGAGACAAAGAGATCAGCCACCCACATGCAACCTCTTTCCATCACAGTCCATCCCACCCTTGAATCACGAGCAGAGGCAGAGCCCCTGGGGGCAGGGGTGACAGGAATAGATACCTGAGTCTGTGCTTCCTGGTGCCCAGGGTGTGGCAGTGCTTGGCCATGTGTCTACAAGTGACAACAGAGGGAAAGGTCACAGTTAGGGCTCACTAATACTGACCCTTTCAAAATTGTGTGGGGGCATAGGACAATTCCACATGTGTAGAATGCCCCTGCCTAACTTCATGTACTCAGGGCTATTTTTCAGCATTGCTTCTGGGGTCCGAGGCCCTCTTAGAATTCCCCCTGATTCCTCTAAATCCCTAAGCCTGCCCTGTTCTCGTGTAAACTGAAAAAGCTTTGCCCTCTCCCAGCCCTGAGTCTTGTGCTCATTGGTAGTTCTCAGGGGCCAACCTGGCTCTATAGTTTGGATCCCAGGGGTCAGAGACATACATTTATAAGCAAGAGCCAAACAAGTGTCCAAGTACATGGCAAATCAGGGTCCCATAATTCTCCAGCACCCCATGGGAGTGTGCCTGCCTCATAGGGAGGCAGGTGTGACCCTGCTGAATGCCAGTGTGTTGAAGGTATGAAGTCAGGAGAGAAGACCAAAGTCTAATGTGCCCACAGGAGGACCCCAGTGGTCTGGATGGTCCAGTGCCCACAAAAAGTGCATCAGCCGGGATGTGACAGGGTCAATGTCACACCACTGGAGGCCATGTCTCTGAACACTGGAGGCCATCTTTAGGGACAGCAACCAAGTGTTCAGAGAGAATACGAATGCATCGAAAATACACACAGTCCTGCAAATGCCACCAATCCTGCTGTAGCACTGCAGGGATCTAGGTGATGGATCACAGAGAGAGGCTGTGCACTTGGGCATGTTGACAGGGCACTGGTTGGCCCACAGAGTGGAGGAGAGACGTGGATTTGCAGAAAGAGAAGACCTAAATGAGGAAGGTTGCTGACAACTCACCAGGCCATGCCGTCGAATGGGACTGAGCGGCTGTGAACACGGGAAGGAAGATATTAGACGCAGAACGCACAATTCGCCCACCCAGACCTGGGGTTCGTGAACCTCTTCTTGCACCCGCTGAGCAGATGCCCCACCTGTGCCCTGGTTATGGACACTACCACTACCTGCCCGAAACTCTCTGTCTTTCCCACTCCCTGCCTCACTTGCCTGAGGAATGACCTTTCTGTTTCTCAGAGCCAGTGTCAGGGCTGAAGCAGGCCACCATAGCCTTGGGACACCCAGGGAATTAGCAGAGGAGGGCGTTAAGGACTGGGTTAGTGCAGAGGCCAATTACCTCATCTCACAACGTGATGAAGGCGGCCCTCTATAACAATGTCCAATCTTTCTCCTTGCATTGTGTTACCGTCCCCAAGGCCTTCCCTAGCTCACCCCAATGATTATGTGGCCTCCTGATATCTCACACCTCACCCCACCCTCTGCCACCTGTTCTGTTGCTCACAAGAAGCTCTGTGCTGGTGTGTTTTTTCCTCAGCATCACATTCTGGGCAGAGACCCAGGCACTGTGCTAAGCAGAGAACAGGGTGCTTGCTACCAACCCTCACCTCCGACACAGACATCTGTCTAAGAGCGTTACCCCAGGAGGACCGGACTCGGGACGTGAGATCGTGTTATGGAGGAAGGAGGAAAAGGCTCCCTGCTCTCCCATCAGAAAGCTGGACCCCGAGCAAGAACTCGGTGCCATAGTCCCCTGCAACAACCTGAGGGCAATCCCCAGCCAATGCCTGGGTCCCATTCAGACCAAGGTCCTTTCTCACTCAGGGCAGGTGACATAACCTCTTGGGTGCCTGAATCCCTGAGGCTCTCAGGCTCAGGCAGGGGCCCTGGAGTGGGAATCTCATCAGCTCTGAGCAATATCACCTGATGAAAGGATGAACCATCCTGTGTGAGGCCCACCTGAGCAGATCACACCAGCGTCCTCCCCGTGGTTGCAGTTGTGCGAGTTCCAGCCTCGGTGCGGGCAGCTCCACAGGTAGGACTCGTGGCCTGAGCAGCGCACATCGTCCAGGACAATGGGTCCCGAGCCCTGACCAAACCGGGCAATTCCCGGAGCTGACGTGGCCCAGCCACAGCCCAGCTGCCTGCACACCACGTTGGCGTCATGGAGGTCCCAGTCGTCGTCACACACGGTCCCCCAGGAGCCTCGGTAGAGAACCTCCACCCGGCCTTGACACCGGTCACCGCCGTTCACCAGCCTCAGGTCCAAACCACCTTCTGTTCCCAACCCTAGGGAAAGCACAGGAACACCTCCTCCATCACTCTCTGGAGCTACCAGGCCTGAGGCAGGTCCCAGACCCTTGGGACACCCTCAATGCATAACGACCCAGGGACACAGTCAGCTTTGGACACATGCACAGAATCACCTTCAGCACAGGAAAGGAACAGAGAGCCTATTATGCCAGGTAAAGAATCTTCCCATGTACACAGGCCTCCAAGAGGGCACTGAGGCTGTGACAGGGCTACCTACAGGACCCCACTGGGGCTACCCGAGCAGAGCTCCACGGTTCTGGGGGATGTTCTCCATGGTCGGCACCCTCAGGTTTCTCATCACTGACCACAGGCACAGCCCCAGGAGTGATGGGATGTGTTCCTGTCGGGGGGTGCTCCTGCACTTTCACCACCTCTGCTCGGGGCAGCAACGGGAGGCTTGAGTTGACACCCCTGTGTCAGCGGGACACACCAGGTAGGCCACAGCATGCACACTCATTCATGGAAGTGGGTCTCTGCTATGCCCCTACCCGGGATCTCGCTAGAGGTCGGATTCTGTGCCACTAGGTCACTTGTGAAAGCTATCCACACACACTATTTCTTTACTAGCCCCTCCATAGAGACAAAGAGATCAGCCACCCTCCGGCAACCTCTTTCCATCACAGTCCACCCCACCCTTGAACCAGGAGCAGAGGCAGAGGCCCTGGGGGAGGGGTGACAGGATATGTACCTGAGTCTGTGCTTCCTGGTGTCCAGGGCATGGAAGTTCTTGGCCATGTGTCTACAAGTGACAACAGAGGGAAAGGTCACAGTTAGGAGTCACCAATACTGACCCTTCCCAAATTTTGTGGGGGCATAGGACAATTCCCCATGTGTAGACTGCCGCTTCCTAACTTCATGTGCTCAGGACTATTTTTCAGCATGATTTCTGGGGTCCAAGGTCCTGTTAGATATCCCATAAATTCCCCTGAATCCCTAAGCCTGCCCTCTTCTCTTGTAAACTGAAACAGCTTTGCCCTCTCCCAGCCCTGAGTCATGTGCTCATTGGTAGTTTTCAGGGGTGAACCTGGCTGTATAGTTTGGATCCCAAGGGTGAGAAACATAGTTTTATAAGCAAGAGCCAAACAAGTATCCAACTACATGGCAAATCATTGTCCCATAGTTCTCCACCACCCCATGGGACTGTGCCTGCCCCATAGGGAGGCAGGTGTGACCATGCTGAATGCCAGTGTGTTGAAGGTATGAAGCCAGGAGTCACGACCAAATTCTAATGTGCCATCAGCAGGCCCCCAATGGTCTGGACGGTCCAGTACCCACAAAAAGTGCATCAACCGAGATCTGACAGGGTCAACATCACACCACTGGAGGCCATGTCTCTGAACACTGGCAGCCATCTTTAGGGACAGCAACCAAGTGTTTGGAGAGAATACGAATGCATCAAAAATACACACAGTCCTGCAAATGCCACCAATCCTGATGTAGAACTGTAGGGATCTCAGTGACGGAGGACAAAGACCTGTGCACATGGGCATGTTCACAGGGCACTGGTTGGCCCTCAGAGTGGAGTACAGGCATAGAGGTGCAGAAAGAGAAGACCGAAATGAGGAGGTTGTTGACAACTCACCAGGCCATGCCGTCGAATGGGACTGAGCGGCTGTGAACACGAGGAGGAAAATGTTAGACGTGGAACACACATTTGTCCCACCCAGACCTGGAGTTTGTGAACCTCTTCTTGCACCCGCTGAGTAGACAGACGCCCCACACGTGCCCAGGCTGAGGACACTACAGCTAGCTGTCCAAAACTCTCTGACTATGCCATCGCCTGCCACACTGTGCCCGAGGAATGACCTTTTGTTTGTCAGAGTCAGTGTCAGGGCTGAAGCAGGCCACCATATCCTTGGCCAACACCCTAGGAATTAACAGAGGAGGACCCTAAGGACTGGGTTACTGTAGAAGCCTATTGTCTCGCATGGGTATGTGATGGCGGCGTCCATCTAGAGCAACTTTCAGTCTCTCTCCTTGCATTGTGCCACCAGCCCCACGACCCTCCCTGGCTCACCTGAGTCTATTCCTTGGCTTCCTGCTGTCTCACACCTCACCCCACCCACAGCTCCCCACTCTGTAGTTCACATGAAGCTCTGAGCTCCCAGGTCTGCTCCTCAGCGTCACATTCTGGCAGAGCCCGAAGCACTGGGTTGATCAGGGAACAGTCCTTGCTACCCACATCCTTATCCGACAACGGGCTCTGCGTAAGAGCTTCGCCCCAGGAGGATCTTATGTGGGACGCGAGCTCGTGGTAGAGAGTCAGAACGAAAAGCCAACTCACTCTGCCTTCAGGAAGCAAGACCCTGAGCAAGAACATGATGCCGCAGTCCCTGTCACAACCTGCGGGCAATCCCCAGAGAATGCCTGGGTCCCATTCAGACCAAGCTCCTTTCTCACTCAGGGCAGGTGACATAACCTCTTGGGTGCCTGCTGCCCTAAAATAAGGTCCAGGACCAGGGAGGATCCTCTGAGGCTCAGGCAGGGACCCGGACTGGGAATCTCAACAGCTCTGAGCAATGTCAACCAAGGAAAGGAAGACCCACACTATGTGAGACCCACCTGAGCAGATGACGCCAGCGTCCTCCCCGTGGTTGCAATTGTGCGAGTTCCAGCCTCGGTGCGGGCAGCTCCACAGGTAGGACTCATACCCTGAGCATCGCACGTCGTCCAGGACAATGGGACCCGAGCCCTGACCGAACCGGGCACTTCCTGGAGCTGACGTGGCCGAGCCACAGCCCAGCTGCCTGCACACCACGTTGGCGTCATTGAGGTCCCAGTCGTCATCACACACGGTCCCCCAGGAGCCTCGGTAGAGAACCTCCACCCGGCCCTGACACCGTTCACCGCCGTTCACCAGCCTCAGGTCCAAACCACCTTCTGTCCCAAACCCTAGGGAAGGCAAAAGAACACCTCCTTCTTCACTCTCTGGAGCCAGCAAGCCTGAGGCAGATCCCAGACCCTTGGGACACCGTCAATACATAACGACCCAGGGACACAGTCAGCTTTGGACACATGCACAGAATCACCTTCAGCACAGGAAAGGAGCAGAGAGCCTATTATGCCAGGGAAAGCATCCTCCCACGTACACAGGCCTCCAAGAGGGCACTAAGACTGTGACAGGGCTACCTACAGGACCCCACCGGGGCCTCCCGAGCAGAGCTCCACGGTTCTGGGGGCTGTTCTCCATGGTCGGCACCCTTAGGTTTCCCATCACTGACCACAGGCACAGCCCCAGGAGTGATGGGACGTGTTCCTGTCGGGGGGTGCTCCTGCACTTTCACCACCTCTGCTCGGGGCAGCAACGGGAGGCTTGAGTTGACACCCCTGTGTCAGCGGGACACACCAGGTAGGCCACAGCACGCACACTCATTCATGGAAGTGGGTCTCTGCTATGCCCCCACCCGGGATCTCGCTAGAGGTCGGATTCTGTGCCACTAGGTCACTTGTGAAAGCTATCCACACACATTATTTCTTTGCTAGCCCCTCCATTGAGACAAAGAGATCAGCCACCCACCTGCAACCTCTTTCCATCACAGTCCACCCCACCCTTGAACCAGGAGCGGAGGCAGAGCCCCTGGGGCAGGGGTGACAGGATATGTACCTGAGTCTGTGCTTCCTGGTGTCCAGGGCATGGAAGTTCTTGGCCATGTGTCTACAAGTGACAACAGAGGGAAAGGTCACAGTTAGGAGTCACCAATACTGACCCTTCCCAAATTTTGTGGGGGCATAGGACAATTCCCCATGTGTAGACTGCCGCTTCCTAACTTCATGTGCTCAGGACTATTTTTCAGCATGATTTCTGGGGTCCAAGGTCCTGTTAGATATCCCGCAAATTCCCCTGAATCCCTAAGCCTGCCCTCTTCTCTTGTAAACTGAAACAGCTTTGCCCTCTCCCAGCCCTGAGTCATGTGCTCATTGGTAGTTTTCAGGGGTGAACCTGGCTGTATAGTTTGGATCCCAAGGGTGAGAAACATAGTTTTATAAGCAAGAGCCAAACAAGTATCCAACTACATGGCAAATCATTGTCCCATAGTTCTCCACCACCCCATGGGACTGTGCCTGCCCCATAGGGAGGCAGGTGTGACCATGCTGAATGCCAGTATGTTGAAGGTATGAAGTCAGGAGACACGACCAAATTCTAATGTGCCATCAGCAGGCCCCCAGTGGTCTGGACGGTCCAGTACCCACAAAAAAGTGCATCAGCCGAGATCTGACAGGGTCAACATCACACCACTGGAGGCCATGTCTCTGAACACTGGCGGCCATCTTTAGGGACAGCAACTAAGTGTTTGGAGAGAATACAAATGCATGAAAACACACACTGTCCTGCAAATGCCACCAATCCTGATGTAGCACTGTAGGGACCTCAGTGACGGAGACAAAGACCTGTGCACATGGGCATGTTCACAGGGCACTGGTGGGCCCTCAGAGTGGAGTACAGGCGTAGAGGTACAGAAAGAGAAGACCGAAATGAGGAGGTTGTTGACAACTCACCAGGCCATGCCGTCGAATGGGACTGAGCGGCTGTGAACACGAGGAGGAAAATGTTAGACGCGGAACACACATTTGTCCCACCCAGACCTGGAGTTTGTGAACCTCTTCTTGCACCCGCTGAGTAGACAGATGCCCCACACGTGCCCAGGCTGAGGACACTACAGCTAGCTGCCCAAAATTCTCTGCCTATGCCATCGCCTGCCACACTCTGCCCGAGGAATGACCTTTTGTTTGTCAGAGTCAGTGTCAGGGCTGAAGCAGGCCACCATATCCTTGGCCAACACCCTAGGAATTAACAGAGGAGGACCCTAAGGACTGGGTTACTGTAGAAGCCAATTGTCCCGCGTGGGGGATGTGATGGCGGCGTCCCATCTAGAGCAACTTTCAGTCTCTCTCCTTGCATCGTGCCACCAGCCCCACGACCCTCCCTGGCTCACCTGAGTCTATTCCTTGGCTTCCTGCTGTCTCACACCTCACCCCACCCCCAGCTCCCCACTCTGTAGTTCACATGAAGCTCTGAGCTCCCAGGTCTGCTCCTCAGCATCACATTCTGGCAGAGCCCCAAGCACTGTGTTCATCACGGAACAGGGCCTGCTACCCACATCCACGTCTGACAAAGAGCTCTGACTAAGCCCTTCGCCCCCAGGAGAATCGGATGTGGGACATGAGCTCAGGGTACAGAGGCAGAACCAAAAGCCTCCCGACTCTGCCATCAGGGAGGTGGACCCTGAGCAAGAACTTGGTGCCACAGTCCCATGCGAAAACCTGAGGGCAATCCCCAGAGAATGCCGGGGTCCCATTCAGACCAAGGTCCTTTCTCACTCAGGGCAGGTGACATAACCTCTTGGGTGCCTGCTGCCCTAAAATAAGGTCCAGGAACAGGGAGGATACTCCAAGGCTCAGGCAGGGGCTCCGGACTGGGAATCTCAACAGCTATGAGCAATATCACCCAAGGAAAGGGAGACCCACCCCCGAGTAAGACCCACCTGAGCAGATCACACCAGCGTCCTCCCCGTGGTTGCAGTTGTGCGAGTTCCAGCCTCGGTGAGGGCAACTCCACAGGTAGGACTCATACCCTGAGCAGCGCACGTCGTCCAGGACAATGGGCCCCGAGCCCTGACCGAACCGGGCACTTCCCGGAGCTGACGTGGCCCAGCCACAGCCCAGCTGCCTGCACACCACGTTGGCATCATTGAGGTCCCAGTCGTCGTCACACACGGTCCCCCCAGGAGCCTCGGTAGAGAACCTCCACCCGGCCTTGACACCGTTCACCGCCGTTCACCAGCCTCAGGTCCAAAGCGCCTTCTGTCCCGAACCCTAGGGAAGGCACAAGAACACCTCCTCCATCACTCTCTGGAGCCACCAGGCCTGAGGCAGGTTCCAGACCCTTGGGACACCCTCAATACATAACGACCCAGGGACACAGTCAGCTTTGGACACATGCACAGAATCACCTTCAGCACAGGAAAGGTACAGATAGCCTATTATGCCAGGGAAAGAATCCTCCCATGTACACAGGCCTCCAGGAGTGCACTGAGGCTGTGACAGGGCTACCTACAGGACCCCACCGGGGCTACCCGAGCAGAGCTGCACGGTTCTGGGGGGCTGTTCTCCATGGTTGGCACCCTCAGGTTTCCCATCACTGACCACAGGCACAGCCCCAGGAGTGATGGGACGTGTTCCTGTCGGGGGGTGCTCCTGCACTTTCACCACCTCTTCTCGGGGCAGCAACGGGAGGCTTGAGTTGACACCCCTGTGTCAGCGGGACACACCAGGTAGGCCACAGCATGCACACTCATTCATGGAAGTGGGTCTCTGCTATGTCCCCAACCGGGATCTTGCTAGAGGTCGGATTCTGTGCCACTAGGTCACTTGTGAAAGCTATCCACACACACTATTTCTTTGCTAGCCCCTCCATTGAGACAAAGAGATCAGCCACCCACATGCAACCTCTTTCCATCACAGTCCATCCCACCCTTGAATCACGAGCAGAGGCAGAGCCCCTGGGGCAGGGGTGACAGGAATAGATACCTGAGTCTGTGCTTCCTGGTGCCCAGGGTGTGGCAGTGCTTGGCCATGTGTCTACAAGTGACAACAGAGGGAAAGGTCACAGTTAGGGCTCACTAATACTGACCCTTTCAAATTGTGTGGGGGCATAGGACAATTCCACATGTGTAGAATGCCCCTGCCTAACTTCATGTGCTCAGGGCTATTTTTCAGCATTGTTTCTGGGGTCCGAGGCCCTCTTAGAATTCCCCCTGATTCCTCTAAATCCCTAAGCCTGCCCTGTTCTCGTGTAAACTGAAAAAGCTTTGCCCTCTCCCAGCCCTGAGTCTTGTGCTCATTGGTAGTTCTCAGGGGCCAACCTGGCTCTATAGTTTGGATCCCAGGGGTCAGAGACATACATTTATAAGCAAGAGCCAAACAAGTGTCCAAGTACATGGCAAATCAGGGTCCCATAATTCTCCAGCACCCCATGGGAGTGTGCCTGCCTCATAGGGAGGCAGGTGTGACCCTGCTGAATGCCAGTGTGTTGAAGGTATGAAGTCAGGAGAGAAGACCAAAGTCTAATGTGCCCACAGGAGGACCCCAGTGGTCTGGATGGTCCAGTGCCCACAAAAAGTGCATCAGCCGGGATGTGACAGGGTCAATGTCACACCACTGGAGGCCATGTCTCTGAACACTGGAGGCCATCTTTAGGGACAGCAACCAAGTGTTCAGAGAGAATACGAATGCATCGAAAATACACACAGTCCTGCAAATGCCACCAATCCTGCTGTAGCACTGCAGGGATCTAGGTGATGGATCACAGAGAGAGGCTGTGCACTTGGGCATGTTGACAGGGCACGGGTTGGCCCACAGAGTGGAGGAGAGACGTGGATTTGCAGAAAGAGAAGACCTAAATGAGGAAGGTTGCTGACAACTCACCAGGCCATGCCGTCGAATGGGACTGAGCGGCTGTGAACACGGGAAGGAAGATATTAGACGCGGAACGCACAATCCCGCCCACCCAGACCTGGGGTTCGTGAACCTCTTCTTGCACCCGCTGAGCAGATGCCCCCACCTGTGCCCTGGTTATGGACACTACCACTACCTGCCCGAAACTCTCTGTCTTTCCCACTCCCTGCCTCACTTGCCTGAGGAATGACCTTTCTGTTTCTCAGAGCCAGTGTCAGGGCTGAAGCAGGCCACCATAGCCTTGGGACACCCAGGGAATTAGCAGAGGAGGGCGTTAAGGACTGGGTTAGTGCAGAGGCCAATTACCTCATCTCACAACGTGATGAAGGCGGCCCTCTATAACAATGTCCAATCTTTCTCCTTGCATTGTGTTACCGTCCCCAAGGCCTTCCCTAGCTCACCCCAATGATTATGTGGCCTCCTGATATCTCACACCTCACCCCACCCTCTGCCACCTGTTCTGTTGCTCACAAGAAGCTCTGTGCTGGTGTGTTTTTTCCTCAGCATCACATTCTGGGCAGAGACCCAGGCACTGTGCTAAGCAGAGAACAGGGTGCTTGCTACCAACCCTCACCTCCGACACAGACATCTGTCTAAGAGCGTTACCCCAGGAGGACCGGACTCGGGACGTGAGATCGTGTTATGGAGGAAGGAGGAAAAGGCTCCCTGCTCTCCCATCAGAAAGCTGGACCCCGAGCAAGAACTCGGTGCCATAGTCCCCTGCAACAACCTGAGGGCAATCCCCAGCCAATGCCTGGGTCCCATTCAGACCAAGGTCCTTTCTCACTCAGGGCAGGTGACATAACCTCTTGGGTGCCTGAATCCCTGAGGCTCTCAGGCTCAGGCAGGGGCCCTGGAGTGGGAATCTCATCAGCTCTGAGCAATATCACCTGATGAAAGGATGAACCATCCTGTGTGAGGCCCACCTGAGCAGATCACACCAGCGTCCTCCCCGTGGTTGCAGTTGTGCGAGTTCCAGCCTCGGTGCGGGCAGCTCCACAGGTAGGACTCGTGGCCTGAGCAGCGCACATCGTCCAGGACAATGGGTCCCGAGCCCTGACCAAACCGGGCACTTCCCGGAGCTGACCTGGCCCAGCCACAGCCCAGCTGCCTGCACACCACGTTGGCATCATTGAGGTCCCAGTCGTCGTCACACACGGTCCCCCAGGAGCCTCGGTAGAGAACCTCCACCCGGCCTTGACACCGGTCACCGCCGTTCACCAGCCTCAGGTCCAAACCACCTTCTGTTCCCAACCCTAGGGAAAGCACAGGAACACCTCCTCCATCACTCTCTGGAGCTACCAGGCCTGAGGCAGGTCCCAGACCCTTGGGACACCCTCAATGCATAACGACCCAGGGACACAGTCAGCTTTGGACACATGCACAGAATCACCTTCAGCACAGGAAAGGAACAGAGAGCCTATTATGCCAGGTAAAGAATCTTCCCATGTACACAGGCCTCCACGAGGGCACTGAGGCTGTGACAGGGCTACCTACAGGACCCCACTGGGGCTACCCGAGCAGAGCTCCACGGTTCTGGGGGATGTTCTCCATGGTCGGCACCCTCAGGTTTCTCATCACTGACCACAGGCACAGCCCCAGGAGTGATGGGATGTGTTCCTGTCGGGGGGTGCTCCTGCACTTTCACCACCTCTGCTCGGGGCAGCAACTGGAGGCTTGAGTTGACACCCCTGTGTCAGCGGGACACACCAGGTAGGCCACAGCATGCACACTCATTCATGGAAGTGGGTCTCTGCTATGCCCCTACCCGGGATCTCGCTAGAGGTCGGATTCTGTGCCACTAGGTCACTTGTGAAAGCTATCCACACACACTATTTCTTTGCTAGCCCCTCCACTGAGACAAAGAGATCAGCCACCCACATGCAACCTCTTTCCATCACAGTCCATCCCACCCTTGAATCACGAGCAGAGGCAGAGCCCCTGGGGCAGGGGGTGACAGGAATAGATACCTGAGTCTGTGCTTCCTGGTGCCCAGGGTGTGGCAGTGCTTGGCCATGTGTCTACAAGTGACAACAGAGGGAAAGGTCACAGTTAGGGCTCACTAATACTGACCCTTTCAAAATTGTGTGGGGCCATATGACAATTCCCCATGTGTAAACTGCCCCTGCCTAACTTCATGTGCTCAGGGCTATTTTTCAGCATGGTTTCTTGGATCCGAGGCCCTGTTAGAATTCCCACTGATTCCTCTAAATCCCTAAGCCTGCCCTGTTCTCTTGTAAACTGAAGAAGCTTTGCCCTCTCCCAGCCCTGAGTCATGTGCTCATTGGTATTTCTTAGGGGCCAACCTGGCTCTATAGTTTGGATCCCAGGGGTCAGAGACATACATTTATAAGCAAGAGCCAAACAAGTGTCCAAGTACATGGCAAATCAGGGTCCCATAATTCTCCCCCACCCCGTGGCCACCGGGCCTGCCCCATAGGGAGGCAGGTGTGACCATTCTGAATCCCAGTGTGTTCAAAGTGTGAAGACAGGAGAGAAGACCAAAGTCTAATGTGCCCACAGGAGGCCCCCAGTGGTCTGGACGGTCCAGTGCCCACAAAAAGTGCATCAGCCGGGACGTGACAGGGTCAATGTCATGCCACTGGAGGCCATGTCTCTGAACACTGGCGGCCATCTTTAGGGACAGCAACCAAGTGTTCGGAGAGAATACCAATGCATCGAAAATACACGCAGTCCTGCAAATGCCACCAATCCTGCTGTAACACTGTAGGGATCTCAGTGATGGAGGACAGAGAGAGGCTGTGAACATGGGCATGTTGACAGGGCACTGGTTGGCCCACAGAGTGGAGGAGAAGCATGGAGGTGCAGAAAGAGAAGACCTGAATGAGGAAGGTTGCTGACAACTCACCAGGCCATGCCGTCGAATGGGACTGAGTGGCTGTGAACACGAGAAGGCAAATGTTAGACTCAAAACGCACAATTCGCCCACCCAGACCTGGGGTTCGTGAACCTCTTCTTGTACCCACTGAGCAGAGGCCTCTCACACGTGCCCCGGCTGAGGACACTACAGCTAGCTGCCTGAAACTCTCTCTTGCCCACCACCTGTCTCACTTGCCTGAGGAATGACCTTTTTGTTTGTCAGAGCCAGTGAGAGGGCTGAAGCAGGCCACCATAGCCTTGGGACACCCAGGGAATTAGCAGAGAAGGGCGCTAAGGACTGAGTTAGTGGAGAGCCCAATTACCTCGTCTCGAGATGTGATGAAGGCGGCCCTCTATAACAATGTCCAATCTTTCTTCTTGCATTGTGTTACCGTCCCCAAGGCCTTCCCTAGCTCACCCCAATGATTCTGTGGCCTCCTGGTATCTCACACCTCACCCCACCCTCTGCCACCTGTTCTGTTGCTCACAAGAAGCTCTGTGCTGGAGTGTTTTGTTCTCAGCATCACATTCTGGGCAGAGACCCAAGCACTGTGCTAACCAGAGAACAGGGTGCCTGCTACCCACCCCCATGACTGACAAAGAGCTCTGCCTAAGAGTTTTGCCCCAGGAGGACCAGACTCGGGACATGAGATCGTGTTATGGAGGAAGGAGGAAAAGGCGCCCTGCTCTGCCATCAGAAAGCTGGACCCTGAGCAAGAACTCGGTGCCACAGTCCCCTGCAACAACCTGAGGGCGATCCCCAGCCAATGCCGGGGTCCCATTTGGACCAAGGTCCTTTCTCACTCAGGGCAGGTGACATAACCCCTTGGGTGCCTGCTGTCCTAAAATAAGGTCCAGGAACAGGGAGGACACTCCGAGGCTCAGGCAGGGTCACTGGAGTGGGAATCTCATCAGCTCTGAGCAATATCACCAGATGAAAGGGAGACCCACCCCGAGTAAGACCCACCTGAGCAGATGACACCAGCGTCCTCCCCATGGTTGCAGTTGTGGGAGTTCCAGCCTTGGTGCGGGCAGCTCCACAGGTAGGACTCGTGCCCTGAGCAGCGCACATTGTCCAGGACAATGGGCCCCGAGCCCTGACCGAACCGGGCACTTCCCGGAGCAGACATAGCCCAGCCACAGCCCAGCTGCCTGCACACGACGTTGGCGTCATTGATGTCCCAGTCGTCATCACACACGGTCCCCCAGGAGCCTCGGTAGAGAACCTCCACCCGGCCCTGACACCGTTCACCGCCGTTCACCAGCCTCACGTCCAAACCGCCTTCTGTCCGGAACCCTAGGCAAGACACAAGAACGCCTCTTTCATCACACTGTTGAGTCACCAGGCCTGAGGCCGGTCCCAGATCCTTGGGACACCCTCATGGCCCACCGACCCAGGGACACAGTCGGCTTTGGACACGTGCACAGGTTCCCCTTCAGCACAGGAGAGGGGCACAGACAGCCCATCTCAGGTACAGGCTTCCACGCCCTCAGCACCTGGGAAAGGCTGTGCACAGGTGCAGGAGCCTCCTTGAGGGCACCGAGGGAGGTGACAAGACTGCCTCGAGGACCCCACATGGGGCCTCCCGAGCAGAGCTCCACGGTTCTGGGGGCTGTTCTCTGTGGTTGGCACCCTCGGGCTCCCCGACACTCCCAGGGAACCACAGGCAGAGGCCCAGAAATGATGGAAAGGGTTCCTGATGGGGGGAGCCCCTGCACTTTCACCCCCTCTTCTCAGGACAGCAGCTGCTGGCCTGGCCTCGCAGTCCTGTGTCAGCGGGAATGACTAGCCGGGCCTAGAACATGCACACCCATTCATGGAAGGGGGTCTCTGCTGCAACTCTGCCCAGGATCTCGCTAGAGTTGGAATTCCATGTCACTATGTCACACGTAGGACCTGTCCACACACACTGTTTCTTTGCAGCCCCTCCACAGAGACAAAGATATCAACCTCCCACTTGCAACCTCTTTCCATCACAGTCCATCCCACCCTTGAATCACGAGCAGAGGCAGAGCCCCTGGGGCAGGGGTGACAGGAATACGTACCTGAGTCTGTGCTTCCTGGTGCCCAGGGTGTGGAAGTGGTTGACCATGTGTCTACAAGTGACAACAGAGAGAAAGGTCACAGTTAGGGGTCACCAATAGGGGTCACCTTCTGTTTGTCAGGACCAGTGTCATGGCTGAGACAGGGCACCACAGCCTTCACAGACAGCCCTGGAATTAGCAGAGGAGGACCCTAAGGACTGGGTTACTGGAGAAGCCAGTGATCTCGCCCGGAGATGTGATGACGGCAGATCTCGGTAGCAGGTTCCATACTTTCTCCTTGCTGGTGCCACTGTCCCCAAAGCTCTCCCCAAGGGCCTTTCTAGCTCACCAGCGTTTATTCATTGGCCTCCTGCTATCTTACACCTGAGCCTGCCCCGTCCCACCCGTTGTGGAGTTCACAAGGAGCTCTGTGCTCCCGGGTCCGTTCCGCAGCGTCACGTTCTGGCAGAGCCACAAGCACCGTGCTAAGCAGAGAACAGAGCTTCCTATGCACCCCCACATCTGTCAAAGGGGTTCGCCTCAGGGCTTCGCCCCAGGAGGACCGGACTGCCATCATGGAGGTGGACTCTGAGTAAGAACATGGTGCCCCGATCCCTTCCAACACCCTGGGGACAATTCTGATAGAACGCCGGGGTCCTGTATGGAACAAGCTCCTTTTTTCACCCAGAGCAGGTGACATAACCTCTTGGGTGCCTGCTTATCTTGTTGCATTGGCTAGCTTCTTTAATACAATGTTGAATCATTGCAGGGTGTTGAAGGGTATACTTGTTTGGTTTGTACTTTAAAATAAATGCTTCTAATGTTCATCCATTAAGTAAGATTCTAGCTTTAAGCCTTTGATTTTCAAATTGTTTCTAGGAGCCCTGGTGCTTGTGCAAGGCCCCAGCAAGAGCCTACTTGGTGCTGGGACCTGGAGAGAAGGTGACCTGAGAGCTGCTGTTAACCCACTGCCACCAGAGCCCTTGTTTTTTGTCTGAATTGTCATCTGTGGGGCTGCTACGTGCGGTCTTTTTGGAGGTAGAAGAAGTGTGACTCCCCCACCCCCAGCCCCACCCTCTCTGCAGGCTCTGACAGCTCTAGATGAGTCCTGTCCACTGTCCTGTGACATAGGCAGATGGCCAAACCCCTCCAGCCCCTCATAGGCCCTCCTGGCTAGGCATGTGGTACCAAAGGGCTTGTCAGTCTTGGCTGGTATTCCTAATACACTGCAGCATTCTCAGGAGAAATCATTATAGAGTGAAGGGGCTCTTCTGTTACAGCTGCTGCATATAAGAATTTTGGGCAGAGTTGTGGCTAACTTAGGACACAGCCAGTCTCATCCTCAGCTCTAGTGATGTCTATGTCCTTAATCAGAGGGAACAGAAAGAGAAGGAAAAGTCAGACCTCGCTCCACGGGCCTTAGGGACAGAAATGCCTGATGCATGTGCCAGTAGGATTCCCAGCTGATCCATGCTGGGTCCTGACTGGGGCTTCGGTCAGAGTTTCTAGGGTCAAAGTTTCCCATGGAAAACGGGCAGTGACTTTCCTTCTCAAGGCCCAGGCTGCCAGGACCTCAGGCTCCATGGAGTGCACCTCCCAGCGCTCCCCCTAGAGGCCCTGCAGAGGGATGCATGGGACCTCTGCTGTCCACAGGGTAAAGGACCATGCTCCTTCTATACTGAGATGAACCGAGGTGCCCTGGTATGGGCTCAGGAGAGGGCACAGGCAAGGACGCTGCTCAGCAAGCTGCCTCTCCAGACCCTGCAGCCAGAAACCCAGCACGTCAGCCTGGCCAGGAGGCAGCAAGCTTGGCAAGGACCACAGGAGTGGGCACTGAGCGTGGACAACAGGACCCCTGAAGACAGGACACCTAGCTCCACCTTGGAGCTCCTTGGGGACACCTGGCAGGTTGATTCCTCCTGCATCTCATGCATATGGTCCACTCAAAGGATACCCATTCAGGCCTGAGGCCTTATTCAGAGGATCCCCTTGGGAGCTGAACACCCCCATCTCTCACACCTTCTGTCCCTCCCCTGGATCAGGGTGCAGTGGGGTAAAGAACCCATAGGGATCCCATGTAACAAACATTACCTTCTACAGTCGTCGTCTGGGGTCCCTCAGTGGAAAGCACAGAAGCTACAGAGTGGAGAGAACAAGAGGTCATTTGATGCTAGCCCTCATTTGAGGAGGGCTGGCCTTCCACTGCCTCAGCCCTGAAACAGGTGCTGGAGGCAGAGATCAAGAAGCCTGCCCACTGCTAAATGGCTGTGATTCCTCCTTGTGAAGCAGAACTCTTCTCTCTGCCCCTTTTCCAGCCTCCTTTCAATGCTGGGAATCCACTAGGGACATCCCTTGCCCCGGTCACCATCCCTCCCCTCCTGAGCTCCCACAGTCTGCAACCACAAAATCCCCCAGTTGATTAACATCCCCATGGCCACAAGGCTGGACATCAAACACCAACTGCCTGTTTCTGCAGCTCCCACACACCCTCAAATGACAAATATCCACCATCACTGAGAGATTCCTCAGAAGGTGGCCCCAACTGGAAGAAAGGCCATTTCTCATGATGCATCCCCACATGGTGAAAAAACCCTCCCCAGAGTGACCACTCCAGGGACCACACTCTCCCGGGGAAGCCATTCTCATGATGTGGTCGGATCATCGGGGTCACATCCTGTGTGTGGTGGCATGTGCACACACCAGGCCACATAGCAAATGCCAGAGGTTGCTCTAAAGATGACAGTTTACTAGAAGCTCGCCTCTGGGGGACACATGGTGGGCAGTCTCCAAAGAGGGCTCTTTGGGGTTAACAGTTCCCAGCACTCTGTGAGCAGGTGACTGGTGTTTGCTAGCTCAGACAAGAGACAGCTTTCCTTTTCCACTGAAGGTGTAAATGTCTTTGCTTGTCACTTAATCCTCAGTAAAGAGAACAGATTACTGACTCCTCGGTTTGATTCCTTGTCCCCCACCTTGAAAGGGAGGAGAAAAGGCCACTTGAGAAGGTGTTTGCTCATTGTGGGACAGAGACAGTCATGACGCTGCCCATCGGAATGAGCCCATGGGGTGATTGCATCAGCCAGCTCTGGAGGGGCTGAGATTGAAACCCACCCCCACCACCTCCCAGCTTTAGGACTTCAGCCAAGTCACTTGCCCTCTCTGAGCCCCCATTTCTTTAGCTGTGAAAAGGGAACCCAATACCTGCCCTCTAACATCAGAGAAGACATGACTTAGAGTAGAGCAGGTAAGCGGGAAAGCATCCCAGTATGCACCATGATGCTGGGGACCACAGGAGCCGCTGTCCCCACACTAGCACAGGTGACAGTGCAAGGCGATGTCTGCACTACCTGAGCACACGACTCCCGCGTCTTCCCTGTGTCTACATTCGTGGCGGTTCCAGCCACCGTTGGGGCAGCTGGACAGGGAGGACTCCCGTCCTGAGCAGTCCACCGTGCCCAAGAGGATGTTCCCGGAGCCCTGGCCAAAGAAGGCCTCCCCTGGGGCCGACACCGCTTGGCCACAGCCAAGCTGCCGACAGACGACCTCCGCGTCCTGGATGTCCCAGTTGTCGTCACACACGGTCCCCCAGGAGCCTTGGTACAGGAGCTCCACCCGGCCCTGACACCGGTCACTTCCATTCACCAGTCGCACAGGCAAACCTGCGTGGACACAATGGGGAACAACTGCGCTCACTCTCAGCCTCACTGGCTGTCACCACCCAGCCCTCCGTGTCCTCCTCTCTCTCCTTCACGGAGCACGGCCCCTTCTCCTTCATCGATTCTTCTCCTCTTTGGGAACCTGACAGTGCTGCTCCCCCAAGTTCGGTCTCAAACCCCTGAGGAGCTTTGCAGTGAGAGCCCCAAATCCAGCTCCCCAGCGCTGATCCACCTGATGACCCCAGCCCCAGACTCTACCATGGGTGTCCAACCTTTCAGCGTCTCTGGGCCACACTGGAAGAAGAGGAGTTGTCTTGGGCCGCACATTAAATACACAGACACTAACAAAAACTGATGAGCAAAATACGGCTTTAAGTAAATTTACAATTTTGTGTTGGGCTGCATTTATAGCCATCCTTGGCCACGTATGGACTGTGGCTGTGGGTTGGACACCCCTGCCGACATTTCAGTGGCCTCCTGGGTACCCCACCGCACCCCCAGACTCAACACAGTGTCCCTCCTCCACCTGAGTCGAAGGGGTCGCCATGCTCCACAACAACTGTGCTGGAAGTGTGGGTGTCATACTTGACTCCTCCCTTTCTTCACCTCTTATATTCAACTCATGGCCAAGGTCATTTTTTCTGTTAACCCCCCCACCTTTGTGCTAGGTTAGATCTTCCTTCTGGGGAGCCTGGCCTCCTCCAGCAGACCCCCAGTGGACCTCCCTGCAGCTCCCCTCCTTTCTCCAAGCCATGCACATTCATCAATTCAACTGGGATTTACGGGGTGCCCACTCTGTGCTCACCCCTGTGCTAATGAGAGTCATCTGACTCACCCAGGCTGCCTCAGGTCTTATCCCGACAATGTACAGCCAGGTTCAGGTCACTGCTCAGAATTCCTCAGTGTATTCTACTCCCATGTGGGTCAAGTCCAAAGTGGCATCTGTCCAAGAGTGGGCCTCCAGATACCTTTCAAGCCTTCTGTGAGGGCCTTAGAGATTCACACCGTAAAGATGAATCTCACCATAAAGATGAGGTTGGGTGGGAGTTTGTAGGTGCCCCGTTCCTGCCTGACATGGACCTGCTAACCCTGACACAGACTGTACAAGGGAAGCAGGCACGAGTCCCAAGAGATCCAGCCCAGCATCCCAACTGCAGGAGCCTAGTGCTGGGTGTGGCTTGTCAATGCTTAGTGCGAGGCTAGGAGAGTTTTGTGGTCCGGGAGTGACCAGAGAGGTTGGAACGGGGTGGAAGGTAGGGGCAGGTGGTTGCTGTGGTTGCTGTTAAGGGGAGGGGTCAGGGAAGGGATAAGGAGAGGCCAACGAGGCTGTGTCTAGGGAATTCCCAGGGTGCACCGTGGGCCTCCCCACCCTTCTTGCTGCCCCTTTCTGGTCACTCCTTTGAAGGGTTCCTGCAAAGGAGCTGTCAGTCTCCCAGCCTCAGCTAGCCCCTTGCTGGGCATCAGTCACCAGGAAACGGCCCCTCAAGCAGTCCCCCCACCCCGGCCACTTCCAGACCATCGGGGCATGCTCCAAAAGGGTGGGGACTGGCCTCAACAGAGCCAGGAACTCAATGGCAGGGTCAGCTGTCCCAAACGAGCGCAGCATGGACCCTGACCCATCAGATTTGATGCAAAGGGTACACATGCTCACTGAAGAGAATGAAGAGAGAAGGACGCATTTAGTAAGAATCATGGGCAGAAGCAAAGGCGTCTGTCCTGGACTCAAACCTCTGCCTAGCCACTTACCCACCCCATGACCTTAAACATGTAACTATGGACAAGTTACCTAATGACACCCTGTTTTACCCATCTGCAAAGTGGAGGTAATGGTACTACATACCCCCTCAAGTGTTGTTAGAATGCTTTCGTGATAACAGGACTTACTGTGTGTATTACTTGGGCACGTACTATGTGCCAGGCAGTATTCCAAATGCTTTTCTATATAGTACCTGAGAGGGTGTATGAAGACAATTTTGTGCAGAGTACACAGCAAGCTCCTGGTACCTGTTAGCTGTCTTCAAGATAGCTTCATTAACTGCGACAGCAGACACTGACCCCCACCCCCATCTCTGCCGACATCAAACTAAAGGCAATCTCCTGCAATGAGTGACCGAGAGGCAGAGTGAAGGAGGAAAAATGACAGGTGGGACACGCCTAAGGTCTCGGGCACTCCGTGACCTCTCCCTCCCCACCCCCACATTCTAAAGGGCTGGCAGGCACTGGCTGTGTCTAAGACGACATCAGCCTCAACTAGCCACCGGCCGCAGCAGCGGAACTGGCGGACCCAGGCAGTGAGCAATACCCTGGGAATACAAGGTTTATTTAGAAAAGGGTCTTACCATAGTCTGTAGTCCGGGCGGTCCACTGACCTAGAAAGAAACCAATTGCTTCTTAGAAAGGAGGTTCTGCCTTTTATAGATGATCTACAGACATTGGCTTGAGCTTCACCTCCAGTTCCACCAGGGGGCGCTGTGGTTTCAACCTTGGGTTTGTGTGTCCCGTGTTCGTGCTCAAGTGTTTGGGGGTCTGCAATACTAAATGACAATGTGTTGGATATGGGATGTGCAGTTATGTTGGATGTAATAAAGGACATGTCTCTCTGCCAGGCCCCCTAATGCTACAGTTGACAGGCTCGGGAGGTTATCTGCGCTCAGAGAGCAGGGCTGGGCAGGAGGAGGCAGAACACACTGGGGTTCAGGGTTCCAGGGTCCCCAGGCAGCGGACTGCACCTTCCAGTCTGAAATGCAGTCGAGTCAGCAGTGGGAACAGCCCCTCAGAGGCCCCCTCAAACGGTAAGTGTCTTGATTTCAGATATCCTGGTCCGTCTCGTCATACCCCGAGAAATTTTAACGCTGCCTTGAAGAACACCGACATCTAGAGCCCCCTGTCCCCAGGTCCCTGGGGCACCGGGCATGACAGCATTAAGCAATGTGCAACCTGGCACAGCCACCCCTGCGCCCTGACAATGGCCACCTCCTTCCACCAGTCTCCAGGCCCAGTCCAGAGGGAGGCACAGAGACGGCCCTGTCTGTCCGTTCCGAGGGACAAGGTGTCAGGCCCCCGTGTGAGGTGGAGAGCCCTTTGCAGTGACTGGGGATTCAGAAAAGACAGAGCAATGAAACCCGATTCCTCAGCATGTTTTAGGGTCTCGACGTAACAAGCTAAACTTTCCTGCGTCTTCAGTGGAGTTTGGCCAGCCTTGTGTTTGGGGGGCACCTTTGTAGCAAAGTCACTTTCGGGACCCATTGACGCCTCTGGCCTAAGCTCTCAAGTCCAGTTCCGATCCTGAACAGCTAGCTGTGCCCGTGGCACACCCCTGCCCCCGTCCGGGGGGCGTGCCCAGCGTGGGCACCGTGGCGGGACTGCTCCCCACTTGGCAATCAGAGCGATATTCCGGGGCCAACGTGGGAGCTTCTAAGATGCCTATGTCCCTGCCCCTCAAAATTCCTCACTGCAGCCTCTCTTCTCCCTCACACACAGCCAAGGGTGTTGATTTTTAAAGCTTAATCATGGCAGGTGATTTTGAGGTTCCCCTAACATGGGAACCTCATATCATGTGCAAGAGTTTTATGTGTATGACCTCAGCTTATCCCCAAAACAGGCCTGTGGGGACACTGCAGCTCAGGGAGGTGAACCAAGGCCACCTGATTGCTAAGTGACAGGGAGAGGCAGCTTCTCTTAACCATTCCACTGTTCTGCCTCCTGCGACCTATTTTTGTAACATGTGGACGATGTGGTCCAAATTGTGGCCTGCACTTCTGCACAGGCTGGCAGGGGTATAACCAGAGAGGAACTGTTGAGAAGTTACCACTTGACGCATCGGCTGAAGCAGAGGCATTCGACGCTTCCCAAAGACGTGTAAAGAAAACTAGAAAGGAAGAGAAAAAATAAGTGATTATACCAGAGAGCCCTAGATGGGTGCGACTGTCCCCACCTGCCTCTGCTTCCCCGTTGACCAGCTAGAACCCCTGCTGGACACCCCGTGGGGCAGTGTGGTGGGGAGGGGGGCAGAGATCGGAGGGGGAAAAGGTGTAGCTAGGCAGAGGCTAGCTAGCACGGAGACCCGGGCTGTGCTCCGGTCAGCGTGGGACGCCTAGAGGACGAGGCTGCAGGCCCAGGTGGACCCCGTCAGAGGACGTCCATCCTGTCCTACGTCTCAGACCCGGCAGGACTCTCTGCAGCAGTCCCCCACCCCGAGTCCCGGTGGGTGGCCCTGGCTCCCACAACCACACAGGCCCCGAGTGTAGAGTTACCAGTTGACACGTGTGTCTTTCCAAAAGTGGTTTCCGAGCTGTCTTCTCTTGTCGGTGTTACAAAAACTACAAAGCAAAGGAGGGCACATGAGAACGCCTCTAAAAGCAAGCATTAAATCTGACCCCTGGCTGGTCGGTGCAGGGGTGGGGGGACCCTTGGATCGTTAGTGGGGCCTGTCATGTTATGTTTGATTATTTATTCTAATCCTCACCCAAGGATGTGTTTATTGATTTTAGAGAGAGAGAGATCGATGTGTGAGAGATATATCAATCAGCGTCTTCCTGTACACGCCCTGACCAGGGATCGAACCTGCAACCCAAGGCTGGGCCTATCACATTGTTAATTCCCTCAGCGACTAGGGGCTGATCTCTGACTGCACACACGAGGCGCCCGGCTGAAGGTTGGGGGGAAAGGAGGGACCGGCCAGGGCGAGTAAGGCTGCGTGCTCTGGAGCTCGGAGACTCCGGCAGCCAGACTGGGAATCCAGTGCGGACCCTGCAGGGGAGGCCCCTCCAGCCAGGAGTGGGCGAATCCAAGCACATTTGTGTGTTTTCAGCTAAAACGAAATATTTAAAATGTGTATGTATCCTATCTGAGACAACATTTTTTGAGTAACCAACCCACTGGCTGTCCCAGTCCCATTAGAAAAGAGTTCTGCCCTGGCTGGCGTAGCTCAGTGGACTGAGCGCGGGCTGCAAACCAAAGTGTCGCAGGTTCGATTCCCAGTCAGGGCACATGCCTGCGTTGCAGGCCATGACCCCCAGCAACCGCACATTCATGTTTCTCTCTCTCTCTCTTTCTCCCTCCCTTCCCTCTCTAAAAATAAATAAATAAAATCTTAAAAAAAAAAAAAAAGAAAAGAGATATTAGGGCAATGGTTCTCGAAGTGGGTTCCATGAAGCAGTAGCATCAGCCAGGCCCCGGAACTTGTCAAAAACGTAAGTTCTCAGCCACCCCCCTCACCCCGCGGCTGGAGGCAGTGCCCAACCACGTGCACTTCAATCACACCCCAGATACGGGGGGTGGGCGGGGGGGGAGATGCGCACTAGCGTTTGGAAACTGCTGCCCTGAAGCAAATGTAAGGACACGGACCAGCGATTTCAGAGGAGCAGTAAGGAACAATTCATCCAGCAACCGCTCACCGAGCACCTCCTGGATGCTAGACTCCAGCGCGATGCCACCTTCGGAAATTTGCTCCTGTGCTCAGGGGCCCAGGGAAGCGGTCAGAGGTCAGGGCGCTAGAGGCTCTGAGGGAGAAGAACCCCGGAGTCTAGCAGAGGCACACGTGCTTTCCTGGCCTGTGCCAGGAAGGCCAAGCAGGGCGAGCCGGCAGGAGGGAAGACATGGGTGGGCTGACAGGAGCCCGGGGGAAGGAGAGACACTGTGAATAAGCTGCCCCTTGAAAACAGCCTCGTAAGGAGAAGACTGCAGACACTAAAGGAAGCTTCTCTGCCGTCTCCCGGCAGGTGAAGAAGTGCCTCCTGCGACCTGACGTCATGCACATTAAAGACATCCTCACAGTGCCCCTGCGTTAGACTTTCCCCTTCTCTTGAAGGCATCAGTGACCACCAAACTCCAAACCCTAAACCCTTGAAAAAATGTGGTGAGGGGACGTGCAGGATTAACAATTTGATAGGAATTCGTTGGTGAGCAATTACTACTTTCTCATTTTGCAAAACATTGACCTTGACGAAATGGGACTGGTGGAAGCTAAAAGTGTTTTGGGGGCAGCTCCACAGAGCTAGGGAAAGGGTGCAGAGCCAATGTGGCACCCCCACACCCCCTCAGCTTCCCCAGCATCCCTAGTGTCAGCGTCTCGCCTGGCCGTGATGCCTTCGCCCCGACGACCGCACCAACGTTGGCACCTTCCGGTCAACTAAACTCCAGGGTTTCATTTCTATTTCACCAGTATTTTCTCTTTCTGTCCTAGAGTCCAGTCCAAGATGCCACCTTGCAAGTGGGGAGTTGTGTGAAGATAAAACTTCGGGAAATGCCCAGGAGGCTAACACTGGACGGTTCCTAGGCAGTGTCAGTGAGCCGGACACTGCACTGCAGGGGTGACCTCCTGTCCCTGTGAGGTTGGGACACAACACCGTTTACAGATGAGCACACTGAGGCTTGCTGAGGCCCCGCAGCTGGTGAACGGCAGAGCAAAGGCATGGCGAGGAGCAGTGGGGCTCCCGGGGCCCCTCCGCCCGGCCCACATCTGATGCACTCACTGTTCTCTAGAGTCTGAGCAGAGACCACAGTGCAGGGCCTGTGCTGTGGGCCGTCTAGCCCAGGGCCCCCCGCCCCACCCTGCCCAGGGCCCAGTGCTGAGCTAATGGCTACAGTTCATCTCTGAGGCTCTCTGCAAAGAACAGCAAGAGTTAATGGGCTGAAACTGCTACCCAAATGCCAGTGGACCTTCTCCAGGTTGGAATGCTGGCCCGGCTGCTCACCAGCTACTGACCTGGGACAAGCCACATAGCCCTTCTGAGCCTCAGTTTCCTCTTCTGCGATGTGGAAATAAAGAGACCTAAGTTTGGGGTTGTTAGCAGACTTTAGACAAGAGAATATGGGTGTATTGTCTATCTGGGTGCCTGGTGCAAGGTGAGTGCACTGCAGAGGGTTAAGTCCACCTCTGGACTGCAAACACAAACACGCGTGTGCACATGAGTGCGTGTCTGTGTGCACAGCACACAAAACTTCACGGTAAAACCACAGGCTGCCTCCATTCAAGAGCACTGCTGCCTTACGCCCCTTCGTGGATGAGGACGGGGCAACCCTCTCCCTGTCCTTTAGGGCCTGACATACATCCCGTGTCCCTTCCCAGACTCAGTGCAAATCCAGGGATGAACTTGGTACTAATAAATGTAGAGCTAAGAACACTGCCTCCGGTTTCAAATATTTTCATGGAAACACCACCTCCAGCCCCAGACTGCCCAGAGCCAGCACCCACTAAGGTCCCCTGGACAAGAGGGAAGGTGACGTCCTCCAGCCGGCCTGCTGGTGTCACCATGTGCTGCACACACATCACACCGTGCAGCCGGCTCCCCATCACCAGGGCCCCCAAGGACTGGGTTTGGGTCCTGCTTTCATGAAGGCAATTCCCCCAATGAACCTTCATCTTCAGAGCATCACCTTCAGAAAACTAGGGTGGGAGGGAGAGTTCCAGAAGTTATCTGAAAACTAGGAAGCTTTGCCCTGTTTTCTGAAATTCATGAATATAGCAAAAAGGGATATCAAGAAGTGTGGATAGTGGAAGAGAAGAAAGTTGGTAAAAATGAATGAAGGGAGGGAGGGAGGGAGGACAGAAAGAAGGAGGAAAGCAAAGGAAAACAGAAGGAAGAAACAGAGGGAAAGAGAGAAAAAGAGAGGAAAGGAAGGAGGGAGAGACAAGGATGCCAAGTAGATGAGAGAGTAACTGAGACCGAGAGGCAGGGAGAGAGATAACAGGTAAGATGGCTAATCGCCCAGTTCACTGAGTTTCTCCACAAAATGACACTAACGGTCCCCATGATTTGCCCATGACTCTTTCACGTACATTTTACACCTTGACACTCTAAGAACACAAAGATATGCTGAGCTACCAAGTTCAAGTCACTTATCCACAGCAGGGAGCAACAGACACACTCAGAACTTTGGTGATCTTGTCTGTGCTCTGGATCCACTTTTGCTCAGAAAATTATGAAGCCAGAATCTCCTGCAGAAAGAAGTCACATAACGAATATTGACAGGGTCCGTCTTTCCTGCCTGTTTGTTTCCACAGGACCCAAACTTATGGCAAACTTTCAGGGCCTCCTAATACTACACATTCACCTCAGGAATTTTCTAAGACCAGTCGGTGGGTGGATTGTTGAACTGAGTGACTCACTGAAAACACTGACTTAGTGATGGCCTTGTCCCACCACAGCCATTGCACTTTGCAGCCCGAAACAGAGCGGAAAGAGCCATTCTTTTACATACTTGCAACGACAACTATCAGCAAAGAACTGCCTCCTCCTTGATATAAAAATCCCCTCAAAAACGAAAGTCTAGCACCCAGAAAGAAGCAGATATAATTTGCCATGACTTGGAGTGGCAGGAGTGAAATTAAAAAATATAGCAATTACATATAATACCTGAAGATAGAACTTGACCAAATAGGCACATTTGAAGGATGACTCTGGAGATCCCCATTTTGCTGGGTTCTTCTCACTTTGAATAAAAACCCCTTGGTATTTATAGATTCCTAGCTGAAAGGAGGTGTGTCTCCTATTCCTATCGCTGCCATAAATCAATAGTAAGGAAGAGAGGGACCTTGCTAACAGTCAACAGCTAATCTGTGGGAACAATTTAGGTGTGTTATTGATTTGCTGTATGAATAACCTGGCAACTCTCCAACTGCAAAAGCACTGACATTCTTTAGACAATTTCCAACTTCCTTCTAGGTGAGCCTCCAAGGTTCTCAAATGCTCCCTGAATATAGGTTTCATTTTACTCCTGGAGAATCTGAATTCACTGGTGGGAAGTTGGCCCCAAGGGTTGGGTCAGAGCAGGATGTGGGCTGCTGGGCAAATACAGGACCTGGTGCCAAGGGGGAAGCCTCTCTTTGGGCTCAGTTGTCCTGGCAGAGCACCCTCTCCTTGGCCCCCAGCCTTGGATAAAGAAAGGTGGCCTTCGTGCAGACACAGCTACTGAGTAGAAGGCAGTGGGATGAGACCATGGAGTCTGTGGGCCCATGCTACCCTGAGCCACAACTCCTGGATGCCACCCTAATTCCATAGCCCAGGAGCTGAGACACATGGGGCCTCAGACTCAACCACCTCCACCCACTTCACAGGGTTTAATATCTTGCTCTTGGCATTCACACTGCAGAAGGCTTGGAGCATGGCAGACCCACAACACCAGCCCTGATCTCTCCCTGCCTTGCACACAATCCCTCTCTTTGGTTTTGTTTTGTACTTATCACTTTGCCCTTTGAGACCCCAGTCTTGACCACTGGACTCTAGTGAAGCCCCTACCATCTACCAAGAAGGTTGCCTGTCATTTATTTTTATCAAAATGCCTTCGGTGGTTGGTGACTCTTGGTTAGGAGCATATGGCTCTGCAGGACCTGCTTCTGCTGTGCTAGCCTGGATGAGCGATGTTGTGAGGTCCTGAGGCTATCAGGTGCCACCTGGGCTTCCTTACCATGAGCTGAGAATTCAGTCTCCTAGTGCTTCTTTCTGGAAGGATACCATGAGCCCAGGCTTCAATCAGGCCCCAATCAGGTTTAGGACAGAACACCTACATTTGGTTTCATCCAGATGAAATGCATTCACCCTTGGATTTCTTTTCTAATCCTACAGCTCTTCCTCTAGTTCCCAATTCCCCCTCCCCCCTTGATGAGAATGGGCACTTTTCCAGGATGGGCTCATTGTTTTTCACTCTTCTCCTGTCAGTCCAACAGTTGGTAAGTGTCAGGTGACAAGATACACATGTGCCAGGGAATGCCCCAGACCAGACAATGTGATGCATTCCTCCTGGGCGATGATTGGTTCCTGGAATGCCGGCCTGAGAGTGATTATGGAGCCAGGTCTGGGATCATCAGAAACAGAGAGCTGTGATAGATTAGTCATGTCTGCCTTGAGCACAACATAGAGAAGTGCTATAGGAATACTAAATATCTGTGTGGTGGAGAAGGGTACACTGTGTCCTCTCCCCTACAGAAACCACTGCCTGGGCTGAGAGACAGACCTGCATGGTGACAACTATAACAGGGGGTAGTAAGTATTAATACAAGTTACTGTGGGAACAGACAGAAAAACACCCAAATCTGATGGCAGGGTCAATACTTCAGAGAAGGCAACTCCTTACGCCGAGTCCTGGAACGTAAACAGGAGTCATTTGCAACCAAGCATGGGAAGACTGGATGAGAAACAGGAATGACTCTCCAGGACAGTGAGAACAGAGGCACAGAGGGACTCTGCCAGGGGACCATGGAGGCAGCCCCTTTGATAGCTCAGCTCAGACCAGGAACATCCTGGCTGAAGAGTTATGTGCCATTCCCCCACCTGCATGACTTCCTCATTTTTGTCTTTTTGGTCAGCCTGACCTTCTCCCTGTGGTTAGCAGTACAGATTCTAAGACAACAAGGGCCTTTGAGATTTTTTTCAGAAGACACCAAAGAGAAGGAAGTGGAGGGAATCCACCTGTCATTTCAAAGCTGCCTAGGGATGTGCTCCAGGTGGGAAACAGGTGATGTCACTGGAGCAGGGACGTCTTAGATGTGAAGGAAGAACACGATGGGGCCACGGGCCACCTGAGCCCAACCTGTCCCAAGGTGGTTTACGAAAGAGGTCTTCCTCTGGTGTGGAGATGGGAGTTCTGGGGGGACCCACCCCTCTAGCAGCATCAGCTCCCTCCCAGAAGGCCCACCTCTTCCCTGCCTTGGGCTAGAAGCATCTGTGTCAACAGCATGTCTAGGTGGAAGAACAGAGCGACTGGGCTCCATTGACAACAGAAACTGCCATTAGCAACAACAGGAAACAACCACCAGAGGGGCTGGAAGCCTCCTGACTCACCAAAAGCTGAAAAGCTGAGTTCTCACATGGGGTCTGGACTTTGAAGTTGTGTCCATTATGAAGAAATAAATTTGAGTCCTGGCCAAGATGAAGCTGTGGGTAGATACACTTTGTCTCTTCACACAACCAAAAGAAGGACAACAACAATTTTAAAAATAAAAATCAGCCAGAACTGCTAGAAAATTGAACTGCATGGAAGTCCAGCAACCAAGGAGCTAAAGAAGAAATATTCATCTAGACTGGTAGGAGGGTTGGAGATGGGCAGCCGGGGTTGAGAGCAGTGCAGCAAGTTGGTGGCTGGCAGGCCAGGTGGTCCCACATTTGCGTGCAGATAAACTGGGAGGAATAACTGGGGAGTGAGACAGACCACGCAACCCAGGGTTCCAGCATAGGAAAGCAAAACCTCAAAACCTCTGGTGGCAAAAATCTGTGGGGGTTGCAGCGGCAGAAGAAACTCCCAGCCTCACAGAAGAGTTTGTTGGAGGGAGCCACAGGGTCCTAGAAGGTACATAAACCCACCCACTCGAGTATCAGCACCAGAGGGGAGCAATTTGCTCCTGGGTAGTGGAGGAAGTGGCTGAAAGCCTGTCAAGAATTGAGCAGGTGGCATTGTTCCCCCTCGGACTGATCCTCTACATCAAGTGCCACAACGCAGCAACATGGGTTGCCCTGCTCTAGTGAATACCTAAGGTTCTGATCCTTACTATGTAACAGGTGCACAAAGATAAAAAAAAATATGGCCCAAATGAAAGAACAGAGTAAAGCTCCAGAAAAATAATTAAGTGACTAAGAAAGAGCCAACCGATCAGATGCAGAGTTCAAAACACTGGTAATCAAGATGCTCAATCATAAAAATGGTTGAGTATGCTCACAAAGTAGAGGAAAAGTGTAGGCTATGCAAAGTGAAATATAGAAAAATATACAGGGAATCGACAGTGAAGGGAAGGAAACCAGGACTTAAATCAACAATTTGGAGTAAAAGGAAGAAATAAATATTCAACCAGAACAGAAAGAAGAGACAAGAATTCAAGAAAATAAAGAGAGGCTTAGGAACATCCAGACAATTTTAATGTTACAACTTCCAAATTATAGGAGTACTAGAAGGAGAAGAGGAAGAGCAAGCAATTGAAAACTTATTTGAACAAATAATGAAGGAGAACTTCCCCAATCTGGCAAAGGAAATAGACTTCCAAAAGCCCAGAGAGTCCCAAAGAAGTTGGACCCAAGGAAGCACACACCAAGACATGTCATAATTACATTATCCAAGATTAAAGATAAGAGGAGGATCTTAAAAGCAGCAAGAGAAAAGGAGACCATTAAGTACAAAGGAGTTCCCATTAAGACTATCTGCTGATTTCTCAGAAGAAACGTTACAGGCAAGAAGGGGCTAGAAAGAAGTATTTGAAATCATGAAAGGCAGGGACCTACATCCAAGATTCCTCTATCCAGCAAAGCTATCATTTAGAATGGAAGAGTGGAAAAAGTGCTTCCCAGATAAGGTCAAGTTAAAGGAGTTCATTATCACCAAGCCCTTATATGAAATATTAAAGGGACCTATCTAAGAAAAGGAAGATCAGACAAACAAGCAAAATATAACCAAAGACACTGAAATTGAGAACAGGCTGACAGTGACCCGGGGGTAGAGGGGAGGAAATTTCAGGGGAAGAGGGGGTTTGAAGGAACTAGTATAAAGGACACATGGACAATAACAAGGGCGGGGTTGGAGATGGGAGGGAGGTGGGGAGGGCTGGGGGGTGGGCTGGGATGGGGGTAAAGGGCAGAAAACTGTACTTGAACAACAATTAAAATAAGAAAAAGAAAAAGAAGATAAAAAATCTGAACAGTAAAGTGACAACAAACTCACAACTATCAATAACTGAACCTAAAACACAAAAACAAAAACAAACTAAGCAAACAACTAGAACAGGAACGGAGTCACAGAAATGGAGATCACATGGAGGGATATCAGCAGGAAGGGGGAGGGGGGAAATGGGGAAAACGTTCAGGGAATAAGAAGCACAATTTGTAGGTACAAAATAGACAGGGAGGGGTTAAGAATAGTAAGGGAAATGGAGAAGCCAAAGAACTTAGAAGTACGGCCCATGGACATGAAGTAAGAGGGGAGAAATGCTTGTGGAGGGGGTGCAGGGTGGAGGGGAAAAAAGGGGAGGAAAAAATGGGACAACCATAATAGCATAATAAATATACTTTAAAAATACAATTAATTAATTTGAAAAACAACATCATAAGGACCCCCACCCCCTCTATGATTTAAGGCCAAAGCGGAGTCACATCCTTGTCCCCCTGCTCCCTGGTGATCACAGAGTCACCAGCAGAGCCGGTGCTCTTGGCAGTTGAAGGTGGGTGTGGAGAGCAAGCTCCAGCCCTGTGTCCCAGGGTCTCTAACATGTGGCCTTGGGCTGGGGACCCTCATGTCCAGAGAGGGGAAGGGACATGCAGAGCTGGCCTGTGTCCAGGCAGCATTCCCAGCAGACACTGCCTGCCATCAGAAGAGGAGAGAGCAGGAGGGCGCAGAGAGCTGCCCTTCATCAGGACTCAGCCAACGGCAGATGCCAACGGCACAGACCTATCAGAGGCAGAGTCCTGTCACGACCCTGGAGAGCCAGAAGCCCGACCACCT